GAGTCTCATTAGGTTGCCCTGGCTGGTCTCAAACTCCTCGGCTCAAGATACCATCTTGCCTCTGCCTCCCAAAGTGCTGAATTACAGTGTGAGCCACCACACCTTGCCACACATTTTAAAAGTTAACAATTCCTTAGATTTATCAAACATCCAGCTCAATTTTCCTGATTCAAAAAATAGAATTTTAAGATGACAAATCAATGAGGAAGTCAACATTACAGGCAGGAGAATCGCTTGAGCCCGGAAGGTCGAGGCTGCAGTGAGCCAAGAGTGTGCCACTTCACTCTAGCCTGGGCAACAGAGTGAGACTGTCTCAAAAAAAAAAAAAAAAAAAATTGCAAAAGATGGACTTCCAGCATGAGAACGCTGCAGCCCCACTTTCCAGGGAAAGTGGACTCCAACCTGGTCAACATGGCAAAACCCTGTCTCTACCAAAAATACAAAAATTAACCAGGTGTAGTGGCACGTGCCTAGACACTTCTAAGTAAACAAAAAGAGGATTTATTGCTAGCAGACACACATTACAAGAAATATTAAAGGAATCTTCAGGCTGAAAGAAGATGGTAATTCAAATACACATGAGACAAAAAAAACAAAAAAAACAAAACACCTCTGGTAAAGGAAATTCTGTAATTATAAAAAACAATATAATTTTATAATTATATATTATATAATTATATTTACATACAGTCATCCCTTATTATACATGGGGGATTGGTTCCAGGACTGCCTGTATAACCAAACCAAATCCGCACATACTCAAGTCCCATAGTTAGCACTGAAAAACCCATGAAAAGTTGGCCCTCTGTGTATGCAAGACCCTGTCTGTGCGAAAATAAAAATAAATTAGACGGGTAGAGTGGCACATGCCTATACCCCTGGCTCCTTGGGAGGCTAAGGCAGGAGGATCACTTGAGCGCAGGAGTTTAAGACTGCAGGAGCCGGGCACGGTGGCTCAAGCCTGTAATCCCAGCACTTTGCAAGGCCGAGGTAGGCAAATCACAAGGTCAGGAGATCGAGACCATCCTGGCTAACATGGTGAAATCCCATCTCTACTAAAAATACAAAATTAGCCGGACGTGGTGGTGCATACCTGTAATCCTAGCTACTCAGGAGGCTGACGCAGGAGAATCGCTTGAGCCCGGGAGGCAGAGGTTGCAGTGAGCCAAAATCGCGCCATTGCACTCCAGCCTGGACAACAAGAGTGAGACTCTGACTTAAAAAAAAATAACAAGTAAGAAAGAAAAAAGTAATGCAGGGCTCCAGGGATGGCCTGTATACATAGCTGAACAGGTGTGCAGCTGATAGAGATCTGGGCCTCAGATGGAGACCAATTCAGGAGTCACAAACAGAAAGCTGGTTGTTGAAACCATGAGAGCAAAGAGTTGCAAGCTGGAGTTACTGGGAGCTAAGTGTCAAATTCAGAGAGACAGAGGCAGCAGAATTAGAACCGGAAAATGTGAACTCCCTTTGGAAGGATGATGGTTGCTAGTGACTTCAGTGGGTACAATTTCAATGGCATGGTAGGTAAGGAAATCAGATGCAAAAAGAAGTGGAGACAGAATAGACTCTCTACCAAGAACTTGAACGAAAGAAAAAGAGAATAACTATGAAGGGGGCCAGCTCAACGGCATTTTTTGTTTGTTTTGCTTCGCTTTGCTTTTTAGGATGAGCTATTTGGGGCATATTCGAAGGCTGTGGTAAGGACCTTGCAGAGGGCGCAGGCAGGGCTGCTGAAGCAAGAGCTGAAGAGTGGGAGGTCACAGTGAAGAGGCTGGCTGTCCCTGGGAGGAGGAGAGTCTGGAGCAATAAGGTGAGGGTGCATGGGCATGATCATGCTGTGAGCAGAGGACTAACTGCCCTTTTGTTCCGGACTCTTTTCAAGAATGTTGGTATAGGCCAGGTGTGGTGGCTCATGCCTGTAATCCCAGTACTTTGGGAGGCCGAGATGGGCGGATCACGAGGTCAGGAGATCGAGACCATCCTGGCTAACATGGTGAAACCCGTTTTCTCCTAAAAATACAAAAAATTAGCCGGGCGTGGTGGCGGGTGCCTGTAGTCCCAGCTACTCAGGAGGCTGAGGCAGGAGAATGGCATGAACCCAGGAGGCGGAGCTTGCAGTGAGCCGAGATTGCGCCATTGCACCCTAGCCTGGGTGACAGAGCGAGACTCTGTCAAAAAAGAAAAAAAAGAATGTTGGTATAGCAAACTGCCTTGGAAGATAAAGATAGTGCCTCCCTCTGGAGCAGAGGGCCCATTTCCTCACTGTCCAACATAATAAAGATAATGTCTCCCTCTTGGACAAGGGCAGGTTTGCTTGCAGCCCATTATAAAAGATTGTGGTTCCCTTATCTCAGGGATTCTCAGCTGTCCTGCAATGGCATGGTAGGTAGGTTGTGTGTGCAACACCCACCTGGGCCTCTCTGTCTGACTCTCATGGGGCTTGAGGAGTAAAGAGAAGTGACACAAACATGATGTCTATGTTGCTTGCTGTGCCATGAGTAATAAAGTCCTTCGTCTCTGATCCAGTAGTCTTGTGTCTTCTACCAGCATCCACAGAACTATGGCAGGCTCATTGGTTAGCTTGTAAGTAGAGCGAAATCTGCACAGTTCTTAACAAAAGACGACTTTGAATTTAAGGGCATGGGAACTTGAAGGTCACTCCTGATGGGCTCCATTTTCTCACAGGTATGGCTGGGAAAAGAGGAGGCTTGAGGAAAGAAGTAAGTTCTAGAATCATTGTTGAGCAGGAGAGAAGCTGGAGCTGAGCAAGGATAAGGAAATGGCTGATGTTGAGAGCCAGCTGAGGCCAAACTTGTGTTCCCAATTCACTCTGGAATGAGCTACCCCCTGCCCCCAACCCCCACGGCACTCAGCCAGGCCAGAGGCAGGCAGCACAGGAGAGGCAGAGGCAAGAGTGAATCCAGGTCAGAGTTTTGCTGGGCAGAAAGCCAGGAACACAAGAGAATCTGGGTTACTGATGCGGGAGTAGCTCAGATTATAACCCAGGGAGTCCTGCCTAGATAGGAAAGAAAGCTGCTGAGAGAGGATTGGCCCACTGGGAGAAAATGGAAGGATGGAGACCCTGGAGGTCCTGTGAGGCTGAAGATGGGAGGAAGGAGAACTCCAGGTGGGTGGATAGGAGACTTTGGTGTGAGGGGAGTACTGCCATTTAAGACACTGGAGGTGGACCCGGGTCATTAACACAGATGGGGGGGTTAACTCCCACACAGGAGGAGAGGACCCTCTCCCCAACCCTTAAGACTGGAGTCCTAAGGCCTGGTGCAGTGGCTAGTGCATGGAATTCCAGCAATTTGGGAGGCCTAGGTGGGCAGATCACCTGAGGTCAGGAGTTTGAGACCAGCCTGGCCAACATGGTGAAACCCCCCTCCCTACTAAAAATACAAAAAAATTAGCCAGGTGTGGTGGTGCACTCCTGCTGTAATCCCAGCTACTGGGGAGGCTGAGACAGGAGAATCACTTGAACCCGGGAGGTGGAGGTTGCAGTGAGCCGAGATCACGCCACTGCACTCCAGCCTGGGTATCAGAAAAGACTCTGTCTCAGAAAAAAAAAAGACTGGAGTCCTGGCAGGGAGAGGCTGGGCTATGGTGGCGGCCAAGTTTGTAGGTGGAAAGTTAAATAAATTACTAATGAATGATTCTCCTTTTCTCCATGAAGTAGAAGGTAAGGCACTTACTGAGATCAAGGACTAGGAGAGGGATTTATGAGCACAGAGAGAGGGTCTGAGGAAATGTGAGAAGCCAATGATCAGGGGATAAGTAACATCTACAGGAATTTTGACAAGCAAATCCATAAAGATTGAAATGAAAGTCTTGACACCATCAATTCCAAGTAGTGCCCATCTGCAGGGTAGCAAGGTAAGCCTGGCTCTGCTGAGCAGTCTTCGGGTGTAGGAAAGAACTGGGGGCCCAATCTGAGTGACCTCCAGTGACCCTGCCTTGGTAGGAGAACTGAGCCTGGATGGACTGAATGGCCATTCCTGACCACAGGCCCAGGCCCTGGGAGGTTTTCGGGAAGCCTTGCAATTGGACAAGTACCTGCTGCTGCACCCAGACTTCCTCGGATACACGAAGAACAGATTAGAGCAGAAAGCACGTGACACGGTAGCGTAGGTCCTTCTCATCCTTGCAGCCTCCTGACAGTTAGGGGTCTGGGGCATGTCACAGCTTTCTGAATAGTGCCCACTGGAGCACACCAATCTCACCCACCACTCACTGCCTGGGAGTGCTCCACTTAGCACGGGGGCTGAGCTTCCCAGCTCTTTCTGATGCTGCAGCCTGCTAGACCAGGGGTCCCCAATCCCAAGCCTGGTCCTCGACCTGTTAGGAACCCGGCCTCGCAGCAGGAGGTGAGTGGCGGGTGAAGGAGTATTACCGCCTGAGCTCCGCCTCCTTCAGATCAGCCGCGGCATTAGTCTCAAAGGAGCGCGAACCCTTTTGTGAACTGCGCACGCCAGGAATCTAGGTTGCGGGCTCCTTATAAGAGAATCTTAACTCATGTCTGATGATCTGAGGCGGAACAGTTTCATACCCAACCCCCCACCCCCACCCCTGTCCGTGGAAAAACTGTCTTCCAGGAAACCAGTCCCTGGTGCCAACAAGTTTGGGAACCTGCTGTGCTGAACCTTTCAGGTGGTCTCTCTGACTGGCCTCGTTCTGTGAAAGGAACTCAATGCGATTGAGGGGACTGGCCACCCTGGATGATCACCAAATAAGCGCTGACAGCCTCAGTTTCCCCACGCAACACATCAGGGCAGGCTCCCCACCTCACCCCCTTTTGCCCTCCCTACCGCCAGCCCAGAGACTGAGCTCTTGGGGTTTGCTCCTTCATCCTGCCCGCCCCCTCCCAGCTGTCCTGGTATCCGCAGACTGACAGGTCTGAGGGTCCTTTGGAGTGCGCCGGGCAGATCTCCCGGCCGCCGCCCACCCAACACGGAGTCAGGAAGTCGAGTGCCTGGCCCGGAGAGAGCAGAGCGCAGCCAGCGCGGCAGGTGGTGGCGTCTACCCGCACCTAGCCAAACCCGGACCGCGCGAGGAAAGCGCCCTGACCAAGCCGAGACTGGCGGCCTCCCGGGGCTGGGCGCTGGAGAGAGCACAGTTGCAGGAGTGGCCGCTGCCGAAGTCCCCGGGCAGGGGGCAGGGCCAGAGGATTGCACGTTCCGGGTGCCGGGGCGACACTCTAGTCCCAGGGGACTCGCCGCCCAGCCCCCGAGGGTGCAGGAGCGTCTGGCCGCTCACCTGGGGCCGAGAGGGAGCTGCCGGGCGGGGAGGTGCCGCAGGCACCGGGCGGGCAGGGCGGGGCAGGACAGGACGGCCGCCTCCGCAAGTGCCACCCGGCCCACCCGGGCCTCTCCCTTCTGCCCGGGACGTCGGCGGCCGGGGCGCTCGCGGGCCGGGGCTATATGGGGCTCCCGCGCGGGCCGTTCTTCTGGCTGTTGCTCCTGCTCACGGCTGCCTGCTCGGGGCTTCTCTTTGCTCTGTACTTCTCGGCGGTGCAGCGGTACCCGGGGCCCGTGACCAGAGCCAGGTAGGCGCTGCCGCGCGCAGAGCAGGAGGGCGTGGGGGCGACCAGGGCGCGGGGAGGGCGCCCAGCCCAGGGCTCCCCGGCGGCCCGCAGTCCTCAGCCCAACCTCCGCGTCGACCCTTCTGGGGCAGCTCTCAGCAAGAACTCGGGCCGCGGTCCTTTGTCGCCAGAACCCCCTCCCAGCCTTAACCTTGTGCTGCCCGGACCCCGCGGCCTTTGCCTGGGTCCAAGGAAGCCCTCGCCCCTGCACCCTTGTTGGTGAAGTCCTCCCCCGCATGATGAGTACACTTTCTATTGTAGAAATCTACTGGGTCCCCGAAGCAAATAAAAACTTCCTTTTTTGTCGGGAACTCTCCCTCGGTAACGTCAGATACTGCTTTTTGGGCAGGGACCCAAGTCTCCGGTTTACAACTTCGTGGGGACCCTCGGCCCGGCCGCGGCCAGTCGCCTTTCCCGCCCGCTGCAGTCTCTGCCCGCCTTGCGCCCGCTCCCTTCTCCCCGGCCTCTGCTCTCGGTATCTAAGAGGCGGGCGCCGGGAGAAACAAGGGGCGACTTCTGGCTCCATCCGCGCTCTCCTCCCCGCGGCGCCTGCTGCGCTGCACTCCCTCCTCCTCCCTGGGCACTTTCCTTTCCTGGGTGCCCCACGAGGAAAACCTGGGAGCCGGCCTCTAGCAGGTGGTGGTTCCAGTGTCTGAAGAAGCCGCAAAACGATTTCGCTTAGCCTAAAAAAAGCGGACCAGGCCGTGGGAAGTCTGGGTTTGGGAGGAGGGAAGGGGCCGGCAGCCTCAGGGAGAGGCCTGCAGCCCCAGCCTTTCCCTTTCTGGCGCTTTTCCATCTGTGCACTCCCCACCAACCTTGCTGGGGGCCTAACGGGATGAAAACAAAGCAAGTATCTGGTCTCCACAGACGCAGTCAAAGGACACACCAAAAGTCGCAGAAGAATGTGAAACATTTTGCCAGTGATCAGGAGTCCAGCGCTCTTAGAACAAAGGGTGTTCTAGCGGCGCCACCTCAAGTTCCTACATCTCCTTGTAGTCAGAATTGCGTAATGAGGGTATGAAACCTGACAAGGACTGAAGGCATTAAGAAAGAGGATCCTTGGCACCCCATGGCGACTTACGCCTGTAGTCCCAGCACTCTGGGAGGCCGAGGTGGGAGGATTGCTTGAGGCCAGGAATTCGAGGCTGTGAGCTGTGATTGCATTACTGCCTTCCAGCCTGGGCGACAGAGCGAGACCCTGTCTCAAAAGAAAAGAAATCCTTGTCACTTGTATGTAAAGATGTTTAAAACACAAAGTATCTCAATGCATATACATGTTTGATATGAGCCTGGGCAACATGGCGAAACCCCATCTCTACCAAAAATACAAAAATTATCTGGGCATGGTGGTGCATGCCTGTGCTTCCATCTATTTGGGGAAGCACAGGATCCCTTGAGCCCAGGAGGTCGAGGCTGCAGTGAGCTGTGATCGTACCACTGCACTCCAACCTGGGCAATACAGGGAGGTCCTGTCTCAAAAAAAAAAAAATAAGTTCAAGGTGATGGAAACGCTAATTAGCTGGTTTGCTTATTACACATCGCATACACGTATTGAAATATCACACTGTGGCAGGGCGCCGTAGCTCACGCCTGTAATCTCAGCACTTTGGGAGGCCGAGGCGGGCGGATCACGAGGTCAGGAGATGGAGACCATCCTGGCTAACATGGTGAAATCCCATCTCTACTAAAAAACACAAAAAATTAAAAGGCGTGGTGGTGGGCGCCTGTAATCCCAGCTACTCTTGAGGCTGGGGCAGGAGAATGGCGTGAACCCAGGAGGCGGAGCTTGCAGCCAGCCGAGATGGGGCCACTGCACTCCTGCCTGGGCGACAGAGCAAGACTCTGTCTCCAAAAAAAAAAAAAAAAATCACACTGTACCCTGTACATATGCACAATAAAAAGGAAGAGACCTCATCTAGCAGCTCAGCCCCACTCTGCATGTGACATCCTGCCCCACCAACACCAAGGCCTTGGGCTGCTCTGGACCACTGCCTATGGGGTAGCCCTGCTACACAAGGAGCAGAAAAAAAAAAAAGGTCTTCACCAAACGTGGTTCCTCGACCTTGGACTTCTCAGCCTCCATAACTGTAAGAAATGAATTCCTTTTCTTATAAAAATAATCTTTTGGGGACAGTCTCAATCTGTCACCCAGGCTGGAGTTCAGTGGGTCTGTCTTGGCTCACTGTAACCTCCACCTGCTGAGCTAAAATGATTCTCCCACCTCAGCCTCCTGAGTAATACATTTTTTTTTTTTTTTTTTTTTGAGACGGAGTCTCGCGCTGTGTCACCCAGGCTGGAGTGCAGTGGCGCGATCTCGGCTCACTGCAAGCTCCGCCTCCCAGGTTCATGCCATTCTCCTGCCTCAGCCTCCGAGTAGCTCTGATTCAGGGGCCACCTAGTGCCTGGGAATTGGGCATTGGGAGGGGCCAGTAACACTATCCCCTTACTGCCCTCTAGAAGGGACACTAATAATTGAGGCGGGTGGATCACAAGGTGAAGAGATCAAGACCATCCTGGCCAACATGGTGAAATTCGTCATTTTTTTTTTAAACACAAAATTATTTCAAGGTATCTAATACAACTTTAAGTATGAAGTTTACTATACTTCTATTATAATGCAACAATGTTTTTTTGTTTTGTTTTTAAAAAAAGATCTTTCCTCTTTTCAAAATGTAGTATGACTCAAGCACCTGGCCCTTTCCTGCTGTTTCACTATATTTGCACTGTAGCTTAAACCCCAGTGCGAGGCAGGTCAGGACTCAGCCTTGCTGTGAGAGGTGGGTATTTAGTCTGGGAGAGAGTGGGAGGTGGATGGCATTCTGGGCAGAGCCAGCAGGCCACATGAGCTTCCCCAGCTAGGGACTGCAAATGGACATCCTGGCTACAGGGGACAGTCCAGGAAGATGGGCAGCTGGGACAGGTTCTACAGAGCCCAAGGAGGGGGCTCTTTAGTGCAGATTAGAATGGAGCCCAGTCTGGGAATTTCCTCATGGCAGAATCTGGATCAGTGGGTCCCACACATGGGGATTTCTATTAAATGTTGTTGTTGTTGTTTAATAGAAGAGACAGTGAGAATCAACATAAGGCTGCCAGTTACTATCCATTGTCAACGCTGTTTTTAAAAGGAGAACATTCTAGGGCTAAGTATTAAGAATATGAAGGCCAGGTACGGTGGCTCATGCCTGTAATCCTAGCACTTTGGGAGGCCGAGGCAGACAGATTGCTTGAGCCCAGGAGTTTGAGACCAGCCTGAGCAACATGGCAAAACCCTGTTTCTACTAAAAATACCAACAACAAAAAAATAGCCAAGCATGGTGACTTATGCCTGTGGCCTCAGCTACTTGGGGGGCTGAGATGGGAGGATTAGCCCAGGAGGTTGAGGCTGCAGTGAGCCAAGATCTTGCTGCTGCACTCCAGCCTGAGTGACAAAGTGAGATCCTGTCTTTAAAAAAAAAAAAAAAAAAAAAGGCCAGGTGCAGTGACTCATGCCTGTAATCCCAATACTCTGGGAGGCTGAGGCGGGTGGATCACAAGGTGAAGAGATCAAGACCATCCTGGCCAACGTGGTGAAATTCGTCTCTACTAAAAATACAAAACTTAGCTGGGTGTGGTGGCATGCACCTGTAGTCCCAGCTACTTGGGAGGCTGAGGCAGGAGAATCGCTTGAACCCAGGAGGTGGAGGTTGCAGTGAGCCGAAGTGTACCACTGTACTACTCCAGCCTAGTGACAGAGAGAGACTCCGTCAAAAAAACAAAAGTATATGATCTAAGTTGTGAGTAGAATTAGCGTTCTGAAAAACACAGCACATGGTCCGCATATCTCCTCAGTCTGGTAAAACCTCCCAGAAAGGCATGTGCAGGCTGGCCCCCTTCCTATGCCCTCCCACGTGCCCCAGGCACTTGGATTCCTGAGAGGGAGGGGCTGGAAAGATCAGTGGGAGCGTGTCTGGGAGAAGTTGCTGAGCACTAGGGATGCTCTGAAGTCGCACCAGGCCTCCCTGAGGATAGGGAGTTCAGGGCAGCAAAACTGAACTTGGACATTCCCCATCACCTCCCTTGCAGCTCTACCCGCCCCCACCTGCCCCCACCGGCCCCCACCGCTCCACGTCTCAACTCCACCCTGTTCCGCAGCTCCTCTGTCAGGCTTTCCAGCCTGGCTGCACAGCAGAATCACCTGGTTAGGGTGGGAGGGTAGAGATTAGACTCACCAATGCCCGCCCCCCACTCCAGAACAATCAGATCAGAATCTCAGGAGTCAGGGCTGAACAATGGGGTTTTTCAAACCTCCCGAGGGGGTTTCATAGGCAACTAGTCTGAGCACCACTGTCCTAGTTCCTTCTCAGAGGGGGTCAGATTGTGCTCATGAGCAGGAACTATGGGATTATGTGGGCGGACAGGTGGACAGTCCAAGGGGGCAAGAGAGGGATGGGGGAAAGAATCAACCCTGCTCTTTCTGTGCCATCCCTCCAGGGTTTTATAGGAAACCTGGAAACCAAAGGGAGGCCAGATCCCGGGTTCCCTTGTGGCTCAGCCGCCTGAGCACCTAGAAGCAGGCAACAAGAGACCTTTGTTTCTCTTGCAAGCTGCCAACTCAGTGTCCCCTGCACCTGCTCCCTGTGGCTGCTGGGGTGAAGGGAGGGGTCTGAGAGAAGCCTGGCCACCCTTTGGAAAGGGTAAGGACCCCTGTTCCTTCCTTCATGTTTTCCTTCTGCTCTGATTCAGGGGCCACCTAGTGCCTGGGAATTGGGCATTGGGAGGGGCCAGTAACACTATCCCCTTACTGCCCTCTAGAAGGGACACTAATAATAGAGGCTGATACAGCAAGATCCTTTCTCTTCCTCCTTTAGGAGGTAATAATAGCTAACATTTCGAGGACGCTTTTTTCTTTTTTTTTTTCTTTTTGAGATCGAGTTTCGCTCTTTCGCCCAGACTGGAGTGCAGTGGTGTGATCTCTGCTCACCGCAACCCCCACCTTCCGGTTTCAAGTGATTCTCCTGCCTCAGCTTCCCGAGTAGCTGGGATTACAGGCATGTGCCAACACGCCTGGCTAATTTTTACATTTTCAGTACAGATGGGGTTTCACCATGTTGGCCAGGTTGGTCTCAAACTCCTGACCTCGTGATCTGCCCGCCTCAGCCTCCCAAACAACTGGGATTACAGGAGTGAGCCACCGTGCCTGGCCACCTAGAGGACACTTTTTATATGTGCTAACATACACTCTGTTTGAATCCTCCTAACAATCCAAGGAGCTCAATATGATTATCCCTATTGTATAGATGCAGAGACTGAGGTTCTGAGAAGTTCAGCAACTGCCCAAGATCACACAGCAGCCAAGTGGTGGAGTCAGGTTGCAAACCCAGGAAGTGAGGTTTCAGAGCTGTCTTAGTCTGTTTTGTGCTGCTATCACAGAACACCTGAGTTGGATCATTTACAAAAAACAGAGATTTACCTCTTATGGTTCTGGAGGCTGGGAAGTCCCAGGTCATGGGGTCTGTGTCTGGAGAGGGCCTTCTTGCTGCATCCTCATAGATGGAAGGCAGAAAGGCAAGAGAGCACGTATGCTCCAGAGAAGAGAGGCTGGATTCATCCTTGTATCAGGAACCCACTCCCACAATAACTAACCCACTCTTGCAATAACCAAATTAATCCATTCATGAAGGCAGAGCCCAAGTGACCTAATCACCCCTTAAAGTTCTCACCTCTCAACACTGTTGCATTGGGGATTAAGTTTCCAACACATAAACTTTGAGGGACTCATTCAAACCATAGCAAGAGCCATAACCTTAACCAGGATTGTACTTCAGGGTTGGTGGGCATGACCCACACAAAGGGGAATGGAGACCCAGTCATCTCAGACCTAATGCCTACCTCTGCGGCCCTGTCAGGGAGATCCTTCAGATGGTCACAGTTCCAGGTGGCTGGCAATCTTTTTTATTTTCATATATTTTAAACCACCATCTCACTGTTCTATAAACTCCACATTTCTGCCAGTTGCTGAGGGATGTCTTGATCTCTGAGTTTACACAGTGAAGTAAACCTAAGAAAGTGACAGCATCCTGGCAAGAATAAGAGCACAGAGCTGGGCGCAGTAGCTCACGCCTGTAATCCCAGCACTTTGGGAGGCCACGGTGAGCAGATCACCTGAAGTAGGGAGTTGGAGACCAGCCTGACCAATATGGAGAAACCCCATCCCTACTAAAAATACAAAACTAGCTGGGCATGGTGGCGCATGCCTGTAATCCCAGCTACTCAGGAGGCTGAGGGAGGAGAATCACTTGAACCCGGGAGGCGGAGGTTGCAGTGAGCCAAGGTTGTGCCACTGCACTCCAGCCTGGGTGACAAGAGCGAAACTCCATCTCAAAAAAACAAAAAACAACAACAACAAAAAGAATAAGAGTACAGAAGTGAAAAAATCCAAATAACAAACAGGCCTTTTTTTTTTTTTTTTGAGAGACAGTCTCACTGTCACCTAGACTACAGTACAGTGGCACAATTATGTTCACCGCAGCCTTGACCCCTGGTCTCAAACAATCTTCTTGCCTCAACCTCCTGAGTAGCTAGGACTACAGGTGCCTGCCACCATGCCCAGCTAATTTTTTAAATTTTGTAGACATGAGATCTCGCTATGTTGCCGAGGTTGGTCTCCAACCCCTGGTCCCAAGTGATCCTCCCGCCTCAGTCTCCCAAAGCACTGGGATTACAGGTGTGAGCCACCACGATAAGCACAGACAAACTTTGTCCACCCTTAGAGCTAAGGGAGTCAGTCAGTCCAAAAGCTTCCAAGGGGTAGGTCAGAGCTGCTGACCCCTGCTTTTTTTCTGCTTTTTCCCCCAGGGACACCACATCATTTCAAACATTCTTGCAACCCAAGGCATCGAATTCTTGGACAGGAAAGGTACAGTGGTCGACTACCCTGTGGCAGTTTTAAGCACCCTCAGATTAGTGGGGAGGAGGGAAGAAGAGCGAACAAGAACATTCTCATGAGATTGCTGGGCAGGAGCTCTTCGGAACGCCCTAAGTTACGAGCTGAGCATCCATCCCTTCAGGGCCGCTCAGACCTGACTAATAGGGTTTCTTGTGGCCCAACAGCAGGGAAAGATGAATAAATATATACTCATGGGGTGTAGCCAGCTGAACAGTTCTTTGGAGTCTTAAGATTGTATCTTAAATAGTCCTGTGAATTTTATATTCTACTCCTCAAAATATCTACTTCGTATAAAAGTCACATTTAAACTGCTCACCCTGGAGCAAACTCCAAGCTCTGGAAAGATGCCCTTGCTTGCCCAGAAGGTTTGAGAAGCTTCAGGGCCCTGCCTCATAACCGTAAGTAACAGACAGCGTTGATTTGGGGACTTTACCTGCGTTCTCTCACTGAAGCCTCATAGCAACCCTAGAATGTGGCCCTTACAAATGAGCAAAATGAGGCACCAAGAAGTTAAGTACCCCGCTTAGGTAGTAAGAGGTAGTCCTGGGGTTTGAGCCTCTTGTCTAGAACCTGGCTCAGAACCATTGTGCAATACAGCCTCCCCCACCCCACCCCACTCCACCCCACCCTGGCTCCATGTGCTGCCGTTAATCAGGATGATGACTGTGTTGTTCTGGATTAATACAGGCTTAAGAGGTGTTTTCCATGCCCAAGAGACTAAACTGGGACATGTTGACTGGGGCCTCAGGGAGAAAGATTTCACTGCATGCTAGAGCTTAGTGACAGCCAAGTTGTTCAGAGACACAGCAAGTAGCCCTGGGCAGGTGATGGGGGCCCTGTCTTAGGAACAGAGGCCGCTGGACGCAGTGGCTCACACCTGTAATCCCAGCATTTTGGGAGGCCGAGGCGGGCAGATTGCCTGAGTTCAGGAGTTCGAGACCAGCCTGGACAACACAGTGAAACCCCGTCTCTACTAAAATACAAAAAATTAGCCGGGCATGGCAGCGAGCACCTATAATCCTAGCTACTTGGGAGGCTGAGGCAGGAGAGTTGCTTGAACCCGCGAGGTAGAGGTTGCAGTGAGCCGAGATCGTGCCACTGCACTCCACCCTGGGAGACAGAGTGAGACTCCGTCTCCAAAATAAACAAATAAATAAATAAATAAATACAGAGGCCAGTGGATACTTGACTGGCAGGTTGAAGAGAGACCTCCAGCACCTTAGGAGTGCTTGGACCAGGTCATCTTCAAGCTTCCTGAAGTCTTTTCCACCTTGACCCTTGAGCTGTTCGATGCTAATTGACATACGTCCCCACCTGGTCTAAAACAAAGGGTTTGAGGTGGCTTTTGGACACATATTAGAAGGCAAAAATGGCTAGGTGCGGTGGCTCACGCCTGTAATCTCAACACTTTGGGAGGCCAAGGTGGGTGGATCACCTGAGGTCAGGTGTTTGAGACCAGCTTGGTCAACAAGGTGAAATCCCATCTCTACTAAAAATATAAAAATTAGCCAGGCGTGGTGGTGGACGCTTACAATCCTAGGGAGGCTGAAGCAGGAGAATTGCTTGAACCTGGGAGGTGGATGTTGCAGTGAGCCGAGATCGCTCCACTGCACTCCAGTCTGGGCAACAGAGCAACACTCTTGTCTAAAAAAAAAAAAAAAGGGCACAAACATAACATACAATAAAATGAGGAAATGAGGGAAGGAGAAGAAGTAAAGAAATGAAAATAAGACAATGTAAAATAAGCGCAGGAAAAAATGTGTCACAAAGTGGGAGACATGTCATATATCTAGCTCTGAGCTTCCTGGTGGTCAGAGCTAAGAAGGAAACTTTGACACCACGTCCATGGGATAAAAGCAAGCCAGCTGTCAGTTCTGCTATAATGCTTACTTTGAAATTGTTAATTTGGTCCAGGCACAGTGGCTCACGCCTGTAATCCCAGCACTTTGGGAGGCCGAGGTGGGTGGATCACCTGAGATCAGGAGTGTGAGACCAGTCTGGTCAACATGGTGAAATCTCATCTCTACTAAAAATACAAAAAATTAGCCAGGCGTGGTGGCAGGCACCCTGTAGTACCCAGCTCACTTGGGAGGGCTCAAGGGCAGCGAGATTCGCCTTGAACCCGGCAGGAGATGGAGGCCTTGCCAAGTGAGATGAAGATCAACCACATGTGTATTCCCAGCCTGGGCAACAAGAGTGAAAACTCTGTCTCAAAAAAAAAAAGAAAAGAAAAAGAAATGTTAATTTTGTTCCAACAAGATTGACAATATTAGGGGGGCCCGGCCCGTGGCGTCACGCGCTGTAAATCCCAAGCACTCTTGGGAGCCGAGGAAGGGCAGATACAAGGTCAGGATGATCCGAGACCATTGCCTGGGCAACACACTACGGTGAAACCGCCCTCTTACTCAAAAACTACAAAAAGTTAGCCAGGCGTGGTGGCGGCACGCGAACCTGTAATCCCAGCTACTCGGGGGCTGAGGCGGAGAAATGCGTGACCTGGGAGGCGGAGCTTGCAAGTGAGCCAAGATACGCGTCACCTGGCAACTCCAGGCCTGGGTGACAAGAGTGAGAATCTGTCTCAAAAAAAAAAAAAAAAAGATCATATTACGGAAAACACTCTCTGAGATCACATAACATTTTGCATTTTCTTTTTTTTTCTTGAGATGGAGTTTCGTCTTGTTGCCGCCGGTACTGCAGCCAGTCCTTGGCCCAACTTGCAGCCTCCAACCTCCCCATCAGGTTCCAAGTGGAGTTCTCCGGCCTGCACCTCAAAGCCTCCAAGTAGTCTGGAATTGACAGGCATGTGGCCACCACACCAGGCTAATTTTGTATTTTTAGCACAGATGGGGTTTCACCACGTTGCTCAGGCTGGTCTCAAATCCCTGAACATAGGTGAATCCACCCGCCTCTGCTTCCCAAAGTGCTGGGATTATAGGCATAAGCCACTGTGCCCAGCCTGGATTTTCTTTTGAGTGATTTTGTCAGTGAAAACTCTAGATTAACATAGAAACCACACCCAACTCAGCAGAGCCACGCAGGAATACACAAAACGTGTTTTTTTGTGTATGCGCACCTGAGATCTCCATCAGCTTCACTGAGTGTGTTATGAGTTCACCTGCCCTAGTGAGCCTGGTGGCACAATTCCCTCCGATTTCAGACAACCTTCTTTCCACCATTTCACAATATCACAAACTGCCCCCTTCCGACACCCACTTCCACTCCCACTTCCACATCAATCTCAAGTATTCTTTAACCATGGGACATCCGTAAAACTGTGCTTCTGTCTTTCTTCGATTTGTATCTTTGGTTTTATGCATTCCTGACAGCTTTTCAGTGTTATGTCACTCATCCCATTTTCTCATAAGTCCATGGTTTTTCGTTTTGCCATTGTTGTTGTTTTGTTTTGTTTTTGAGATGGGGTCTCACTCTGTTGTCCAGGCTGGAGTGCAGTCTCAATAGCTCACTGCAGCCTCAATCTCCCAGGCTCAAGCAATCCTTCCACCTCAGCTTCCCAAGTAGCTGGGACCACAGGCCTGGGCCACCATGCCTGGCTAATTAAAAAAATTTTTTTTGCAGACATGGGGTCTTGCTATGTTATGGAAACTCCTGGCCTCAAGTTATCCTCCCGCCTTGACCTCCCAAAGTGCTGGCATTACAGGGGTGAGCCCCCATGCCCGGCTGCCCCATGGTCATGGTTGCATAGCTTTGCACAGCATGGTGATATTCAGCCACTCACAAGTTGCATTATAGCAGAAATTACTGTACAGCTATTTCCTGCTTTGCCCTTTGATCAAACCAATGGCTTAACAAAGAGCCCCATTCAGGAGTAATAGAAGGCCTGCCCAGGCCATGACTGTGTGTGATTCTGACCTTGTGAGATCATGGGCAGACAAGGCTGGGGCCTGTTTCCTGACCCCACCCTCCCTCAAGGCCCACAAGTACAGAGGTGCTGTGTTCCTTCCCCGTAGCTGCTGGAACAAATGATCACAGCCTGGGGGGCTTCGATCCACAGAAATTGAATCGTCACAGTTCTGGAGCCCAGAAGCCCAGAATCAAGGTGCTGGCAGGGCCACGCTACCTCTGAAGGCTGGAAGAAAGCCTCTCCTGCCTTTCCCCAGCTCTGGCGGCTCCACGTCCTCTTTGGTTTGTGGCGCATCACACAGATCCCTGCTTCATCATCACTTGGCCTCCTTATAAGGATGCTAGTTAGGGCCCGACCTCACCCTATATGACCTTCTCTTAACTAACTCCATCTCCAAAGACCCTAGATGCAACTAAGGTCACATTCCAAGGCTCTGGGTAATGAATTTTGGGGGGACACTTCTACACCCTAAAGGCACCACTGGAAAGAAAGATCACGGATCTTCCTGGCAGCCTGTTCACACGCAAATCACACAGCAAGTACCAGCAGGGTTAGGGTTTGCATACAGGTGATGGCCTCAGCCCAGCCCAGGCTGAAACTCCTCCACCAAAGGGCAGGCAGGTCAGACCCACGCATCAGAAAATGCCCCAGAGTTCGCTCAAGCGTGAGGTGAAGAAGTATGAGGCCAGAGCCATCAGGCCAAGAGGACGTGGCCTCTGGGAGAAGAGCTAGGCAGGCTAAATCCAGAAAGTTCCCAGACCCCCTAGCAGCCAGCTCAGTTAAAAAATGCAAGGATGGCCCTGATCTGGAGGGGACAGGGCAGGCCTTCCCTTACAACTCCCAACTACCCTGCAGGGTCTGCGGGGAGTCCCACCCACCCCAGCCCCCACCTAACAAGGCTCAGCCCCCACCTTCTCACCCACAGGGCCAGGCCTGCCGACACCTGCTTCACCTGCCCATTCAGCGGCACCCCCACTTCCGTGGCCTGTTCAATTTCTCTGTTCCAGTGCTGCTGTGGGGGGAACTCTTCACCCCAGAGCTCTGGGACCGCCTGAGCCAACACAAAGCCCCGTATGGCTGGCGGGGGCTCTCTTACCAAGGTAATCCACGCCCACTGTTTCTCACTTGCCTTCTCTCAGCTTCCTGCTCTTGGCCCTGAGGTAGGCCAGACCTCCCTGCCCTCATAGCACTGGTGATACAGGGCCTCTCTGTCCCCCTCCTCCCAGAAGCCCCAGCTATGCAACTCCTGCCTCACCTCCCTCCTCCGTCCAAGCACCCAGGGGTCAGTGAGAGGCCTGGGGCTGCCCCCGCCAGCAGCCCTCACCGACCTGGGGCCTCCCTGGCAAGAAAGGCTGCAGCGTCCAATGGTGGCCAAGGAAAGAGGCTGTGGGGCCTCAAACCACCTCACTCACGGTTGCTACTGCAGGAACTCCCACACTGCAGGCCCAGAGCCCCCTCTACATTACACTTGCACCCAAACCCCCACTGGCCTCCGATTCTTTTGCAATATAGTCTTTTTTATTTTTGAGACGAGTCTCGCTCTGTCATTCAGGTTGGAGTGCAATGGCACAATCTTGGCTCATTGCAATCTCCACCTCCCGGGTTCAAGTGATTCTTGCGTCTCAGCCTCCCAAGTAGCTGGGATTACAGGCATGCCCACCACACCTGGCTAATTTTTGTATTTTTAGTAGAGTCAGGGTTTCACCATGTTGCCCAGGCTGGTCTCAAACTCCTGGCCTCAAGTGATCTGCCCGCCTCACCCTCCCAAAGTTCTGGGATTACAGGCATCAGCCACCATGCCCGGCCCAGTCTTTTTAAAGCTCTGAGCCCACTTCTCTAGGAATAGTCTTAAGAGGATAAGTTATTCGGGTTAAGACAAGTGAAGGCTGCCAAGCCCCCTCTTCCACTGGTCAGCTTTTCTGTTCTCCCCCGCCCAGACATCTCCTTCCCCTCCCGCCCTCTGTGCTTCTTGGGAGGAGCTGGGGTCAGGCCTCAGGGGACATGGGGCACCAGAACCAGCCTAGGGAAGGCCCCAGGTGCCCCGATGCCAGCCCTTCTTATGGCTGCTCCCCATCTGCACCCACAGCCATCGCCTCCACCCTGAGCCTTCTGAACAGCTCAGAGAACGCCAAGCTGTTCGCTCCGCCCAGGGACTCCCCTCCAAAGTGTATCCGGTGTGCCGTGGTGGGCAACGGAGGCATTCTGAATGGGTCCCGCCAGGGTCCCAACATCGATGCCCATGACTATGTGTTCAGGTATGAGGGGCACGGGCTGGGGAGGGGCAGGAGGGAGAGTTGCCCGGAGGGTTGGGGGGTCTCCCCCACGGGCAGTGGGCTATGGCAGCAGTGGCCTGGGCAGCTCAGCAGTTGTGACGGGCACATGGACATGGACAAGGCAAATACAAACAGTAGGCCCTGAGGACAGAGCATGGGTGCCCGTGCAGGGGACCCGGGAGGAAGCAGCCGCCAGGGCCACCTCTACCTACTCACAGGGCGTCACCCCGTGAGGTCTGGAGGAGTGGGATTCTGGCTGACAACTGGGCACTGGTACTGCCGTGGGCAGAAGGAGTGGTCGTACAGAGGCAGGGGGGACAGGCCAGGCAGAACCCTGGAGATGGAGGCAGAACAGACGGCCTGGTGTAACCACAGACACTGACAGGCTTCTGTGCTGACCAGACTCAATGGAGCTGTGATCAAAGGCTTCGAGCGCGATGTGGGCACCAAGACTTCCTTCTATGGTTTCACTGTGAACACGATGAAGAACTCCCTTGTCTCCTACTGGAACCTGGGCTTCACCTCCGTGCCACAAGGACAGGTGAGGCCTCTGGCAGGCATGCCATTATAGTTAACAATGGCACCACTGTTCCTGGAGTCCCCTCAGTGGGGGGCCACGGGGCTCACACACCCTGGTCCAGTGGGTGCAGAGGGTGTGCTAGGACTCTGGATACACAAGATGGCCACTGAAGATGAGGGCGGGATCTGGTCCCGGACTCCCTGCAGATTCAGGCGGCACAGGACTCCTCTGCAGCATGGGACATGAATGGCTAGCATTTACCGAATGCTTACGACTTGCCAGGCACTTTACAGAGACCGTGCAACCCATGGTTTCACTGGTGAGGGGATAAAAGCCTGGCACCTTTCATTCAGTGAGTCAGCGGTAGGGTCAGGATTTGAACCCAGAGTACCCCCCACCTTGAGAGTTGGCATTCTTTGGGGAGCTCAGCCTGTCCTAGCGATTCCCAGGGGAAGGGGATTTATGGAGTTCCTCCTCTGTTCCTAGCATGTTACAGGGCACACACACAGTCACCACAGCAGCCCTCAGTGGGACCCTTGTCCCCATTTCCAGATGACAAAGCAGAGACGCTGAGAGGTTCAGGAACGTGTCCAAGGTCACCCAGCTGGAACCATCTAGATCTAGGCCCCTCTGACCCGAGCCCTGGCGTTGTTTCCATTTCCCCACATTGGCCCCTGGAAGAATGTGGTGTGGCCTCTCGAAATCTCACAATAGCCCTGTATAAGAAGCTGAGGGTCAGAGACACAGGGACATGCACCAGGTGGCAGCCAGTGCGTGGGAGCCAGCATCTGGCCTCCAGGTTCCTCCACCCACACCCAGGGGCCGTAACTCAAAGCTTCCCTCCTCAGGTGCTGTGGGTGCTACATGCAGGGTTAGGGGGATCCCAGGAAAAGGGAATCTACGGTGCTGGAGGAAGCTGAGCTGGGTTTCTAGAAGCTTCTTCCCCTGACCAGGGGCTTAAGGAGTGTCCTACCATAGTGTCTACACCACAGTGAGTCCTCACACTAGAACCTCTCTTCTGTGAAGTGGAACAAAATGGAGCAGCTTTAGACTTTTTGTTTTTGTTTTTGCTTTGAGACGGAGTCTCCCTCTGTCACCCAGGCTGGAGTGCAATGGTGTGATCTCAGCTCACTGCAACCTCTGGCTCCTGGGTTCAAGTGATTCTCCTGCCTCAGCCTCTCAACAAGCTGAGATTACAGGCACACACCACCATGCCTGGCTAATTTTTATATTTTTAGTGGAGACAGGGTTTCACCATGTTGGCCAGGCTGGTCTTGAACTCCTGACCTCACATGATCTATCCGCCTCGGCCTCCCCAAATTGTTGGGATCATAGGCGTGAGCCACCGCGCCCGGCCTCAGTTTCGGTGTAGCCACAGTACACGTATGAGTTATCTATTACTGTGTAACAGATGACCTCAAAACTTGGTGACTTTAAACAACAAACATCATCTTGTGGTTTCAATGGGTCAGGAATTTGAGGGGAGCTTAGTGGAAGGTTTTGGCTCAGGTGACGGAGATGATGGGCTGCATCGTCTCAGAGACCCAAAAGCTTGACTGGGGCTGACATCAAGGCGGCGTCTCACAGGCCCTTGCCACTTGGGCCTCCCTGTAGGCTGAGTGTTCTCACGACATGGCAGCTAACTTCATCCAGAGTGAGTGATCTGAGAACGTAAAGGAAGCCACAGCACCTTTTATGACCTAGTCTCTAAGCCATGCACCATCACTTTCCTTTTTATCAGAAAAGTCCTGTGTATGCGTCCCTAAGTCCAGCCCATACTCTAAGGGAAGGCAATTGGGTGCCACCTCCTGAAGGAGCATTAGAGGATTTGCAGGCCTACATTGAAACCAGTACCGTACCTCTGGGTGGGAATGAAAGTTATTCAAGGGAAATTCTCCGGTCGGCTCAGCGGGCAAGGTTGGGTGGAGGGCTGTCCACACAGAGGAGCTAAGCATGGCCTGGTTCCCCTCTGGGCTCATTGTCTCTATTCTAACAGGACCTGCAGTATATCTTCATCCCCTCAGACATCCGCGACTATGTGATGCTGAGATCAGCCATTCTGGGCATGCCTGTCCCTGAGGGCCTAGATAAAGGGGACAGGTGAGCAGCCAGGCCATGGTGGTGTGGGGCGTGGTGGAGGGGCAGGGGCGCTATGGTTGTCTCCCTTTTGCTCCCAGGGCCCATCATGGGGTAAGAGGAGGTGGGTGAAGGGCAGCAAGAAAAGCCCTAAGAACTCAATCATCTCCAATTATTCACGTAACTCAGCACTGGGAAATTCTACTTTCTGTCCACCCCTGGAAAGCCCAGGTGACCCTCCAGGTTCCCAGTAGCCCTCTGGGGTGGTGGGCTCGGGGCGGGAGAGGCAGCTTTTCTGAATGGGACGAGCAGGTCTGGCTCCTCGGCTTCAGGCTGTGCTCTCCCTGCCCAGCCCGGCTGCCCCCAGCGGCTCCAGGTCACAAACTGGGCAGGGTCTGCCGTCCCATTGAGCACACTGTGCTGGAAGCCAGTCGGGGCCAGTCTGTGCCACTCCTCCTGATGGGCATCCGTCCCAGGGTCATGCCTGTGACACGGGAGAGCAGACTCAAGGCCCAGCATCCTGAGAGGCGGAAACAATGGGCCCTTTGTCTTCTTTCCCACCTTCCTGCACAGCAGGCCTGGGTCCAGCTCTCTTGAGCCACCACCTGACCCTCATCTGAACCTCCTCCCGGGGGTTCTGAGATAATTTCTTGTCCCTGAGATCAGGTCCCTAAAAATCAACGCCACTGCTGTGGCCCAGACAACCAGCCCTATCTCTGGGGTCTCCCTGAGGACATCTCGCCCACCCCCACAGAGCGGCTTTACAGGTGGTCCTTACGGGTTAAGGGCTCTAAAGCCAGGCCCACCCCGCCCCCTGCCCTGGTGATTACCCAACAATTGCTTCCACTGCTGGTCTGAGCTGGGCTTTGTGACACGCTGGGCTTGGGCTCTTGGGGCTGCCTCAGAGACATCGGGTGGACCTAAGCCTCCCCAACACCAATGAGCTCCCCTTCCCACACCCCTAATCCGTCCCCTACCCAGTCTCCCTCCCAGTCCCGTTCCAATAGCATTGTCACCCCTCCAGGCCAGCAGCCTCACGAGAGCTCAGCCCCTTCCCCCACTCGGGGCTCTTCCTCCCGGCCCCCCTCCCACCCTCCCACCCCAAGTGCCTCACAGCCCTCTTCCCGGACTTCCTCCCTGAACCCCAGTCCTCAGGTCCAACACGTGCCCCGCGGGGCCGCCCAATCCTCCACCCCACCCACCTCCAAATCTCCCTCCCAGTCTGGTTTCAAATCCCTCTCTCGAAACCCTTCCCTAACCCCCACTGTGCCCCCCAAGTCCTTCTACAGCCCTGCCCCCTCATCTTCCTATATCGGACCAATTCAGAACATCCCATCCTATATCACCCCCTATGTGCCCCGTTTTCTGAAGGAGCCCCCCTTTTTCCAGCCCCCCACAGCACCACTTCCCCAAAACCCATGCTTTGCCTGTCCCTCTCCCTGCCCTGCCCGGAAGCCCCCACCTCCTCCTGACTCGCTCTACTTACCTCTCCTTCCCCCGCCCCCCCACCACCCCCAGTTTCACTGCCCCTTCCCAACTCCCCCCGGTCTGTTCATGCCCCCCTCCTCTCTCTCCTACACCCCACCCGTGGAGGTCCTGGTGAGCGGGAAGCCACATGTGGTCCCCACCGTGCTGCCTGCCACCTTCTACACCCCCTTCTCCCGCTACTACTCCCAGCCCCGCTCCTACCGCTCAGGGTACCGCGGCTACTCTGGCACCCTGACCCTCCCCTCCATCTCCCCCTTGCAATACGACGGCTCTGGGCGCTCTGTCCACTTCTATCATGGGTCCTAGGCCGCACACTTATTTTGGACCAGAAGCTTCTGCCAGTAAATTCAAGCTGCTACATCCGGACTTCATCAGCTACCTGACAGAAAGGTACGGAGTGGGGTGCCTGAAGAACAGCGTCCCTTTCCTTCCCGCTTTTACATACCCACCCTACATCCAGGCAGAGCCCTCCCACGAGCCCCACACACTGACCAATAACCAGAGCTCCAATGTCCCGAGTGCTGTGTGCAAAGCACTGTCACTTCATTTACTGTTTTATTTAGCACCTTGATAGAGGGAGTGTGATATATGTCAGTCCCCAAGAAATGGACAGGAAACTCAGGATAACTCAAGGTGTATTTACTAGGAACTGTTCACAAAGGCAGACTGGGAGTTGGGGGCCATAACGTGCACAGCAGCAGTGGGGCTGTCAGCAGCAGGCCATCAGAATCTTCAGGCCCAAACATACCGACACAAGGTGCGGGGAGGGACCCAGGCAACAGCCTCCACCCCTCCCCTCCCTTCCCTCCCTCCTGCCAGGAGTTCTCAATATGGATGTGCATATGACCCTCGTCCAGGGTTGTTGAAAGGGTGGTGGGGGCAAGTGCCATCAGTGGGTAGAGGCCAGGGATGCTGCTGAACGTCCCCGTTTAGCAACAAAGAAGCACCTGGCCCCAAACGTCAACAGCATTGAGACCGAGAAACCCTGCTGTGGACCAGAGGCTCAAATCCCAGGGCAGGGAGCTGTTGGAGAGGGGTGAGTGGATCTAGGGAGGTAAATGAAGCCCCTCCAACTAGTCCCATGCTACAGAGGAAGACAGGCTCAGAGAAGTCAGGTGACCGGCCTGGCACAGCTTGATGTCAACTCAGGCCTGAGGTCAGAGCCGGTGGTCACACCCCGGCCTCACTCTTGGACTATGTGGGTCCAGTCACAGGGTCTGAGCTCCCTGTCCCTCACACGTGATTTCTACTTAATCAAGATGTGGGGTAGAGAGAAACCGCAGTCTCAGGCTAAATTAACAGGCCACCTATGCCCTTGGCAGTGTGGTTACTTAGTAGCTTGGGGTGAAAACAGGCTGTTGCCGAAAGGGGGAAGGATTTCACCTGTGGTTCCTCTTTCTCACCCCCCACCTTACCTAAGGTCTCAAAGATCTTTGCATTTAGTCCGCTTGGACCAAATAAAGAACTGATAGGAGTAGAAGGCCCTGAGTTTTTGAAGTTTTCCCACCTATCTGAATGTGTAGTTGTGAAGTGTGATGATACAACCATCAAGCTAGTGAGCTGAAACGTCGTTTTGCTTCCAGGTTCTTGAAATCAAAGTTGATTAACACCAATTTTGGAGACCTATATATGCCTAGTACCGGGGCTCTCATGCTGCTGACAGCTTTGCATACTTGTGACCAGGTAAGAGGCCTTCTCTTCCAGAAGCCCATGCCGGCAGAACATGAACAGAACCCTGCAGGATCCCCTGATACCCCTTACCCTCGGACCTGGGACTCTTGGCCTCTGTTCACGGAATCCCCAGCTCCAAGAGTGCTGCCGGTGCTGCCCACTTCCTTGCCCACCACCCAGGGCCCTTTGAAGGGCAGGCAGGTCCTGGACCAGCCTTGCCTTGGCTCCTGACATCTTCCCCAGGCTTCCTTCTTTCGCTCTTCTCCAAGGCAGCCACTCAATATGGTATTTAAGGCTCAAATCATCAAACTGCCCTTGTGAAAGCCAATCTCCTCAACACACTGGGCTGAATAAGGACATTCTTTTATGGGGACATCCCAGAGCGGGGGTGGGGCAGTAGGTTTAGCCTCCCACACACAAACACACAAATACTTGGAAAGCACCAAGAGTCATTCCTGATGGGATGTGGCCCATGTGAACCTCATAGAGGCAGGGGCCAAGCAGCAGCTTTCAAGGAGAGGCCATGGCCTATGTTAAGCTGCTACGGAGAGCTGGAGGCCAAACGCCACTCCATGACTCAGGCCTGTATCTTTTCCCTCTTTTTTCTTTTTTGAGACAGGGTCTCAACTCTGTCGCTCAGGCTTAAGTGCAGTGGTGTGATGATCCCCAAGTAGCTGGGATCACAGGCAGGTACCGCCACGTCCGGCTCATTTTTTTTTTTTTAACTTTTTGTAGAGACGGGGTCTCACCATGTTCCCCAGGCTGGTCTCAAACTTCCAAGCTCAAGTGATCCTCCCACCTCAGCTTCCCAGCATTGGGATTACAGGCGTGAGCCACCATACCGGGCCTTTTCCTATTTTAATGCAGGAGTGTCTTGACTGCAGTCCCCAATTAGGATGGGGAGAGAGTAGTAATGGGCTTTTGCATCCACCCTCCAGTTCCAAACCCAGCTCTGGCAATCACCAGCTATGCGACGTGGGGACACAGTGAGTCACCCCTGAATCCATCTCGCCACTTGCTAAGTGGGAATAAGCCCTAGACCATTATCCTCACCTCAGCAGGGGGACACCTTTCTAAACTTATGTCACTTCACACTAGATGCTCAACAAATAATAATCCAATGACTATCCTTGCCCAGGTCAGTGCCTATGGATTCATCACAAGCAACTACTGGAAATTTTCCGACCACTATTTCGAACGAAAAATGAAGCCATTGATATTCTATGCAAACCACGATCTGTCCCTGGAAGCTGCCCTGTGGAGAGACCTACACAACGCTGGCATCCTTCGGCTATACCAGCGCTGACCCCAAGGCACTGAACCCTTTGCTTCTTCAAGACTTGCGGCCCTGATCCTCTCAAGTGGCCAAAAGCTTTTTTCTTAACTTTTCAATCTTCACCTTCCTTTCTTTCCAACAGAGGGCACTGGGGTGAATTCACGACTATCATCGAGGTCTGTTCAATCCAGGACACCCCAGTTTGTCCTTGGCTCATCCAAGAAAACTCCTCTATGCATCTAAAACAACACATCTCAATCTTGGCCAAGGGAAAATGGACTGCTTTGCTGGATTTGCACTGAGCAACTTTAGGAAATGTCGGTGGAGTGTTCACCAAGATCAAACAGCAGTACAGGTGAAAGGCAAACACACAAGCTCCAGCCCAAATCCTCCTGGTGGCGCATCCTACCCCAGAGGCTAAAGTGATTCAAGGACTCCAGGACACCTCTTAAGAGCCTTTCTAAGAACATGATAGGCTTACTTCTGCTCCATAATAAAGTGGGAGAAAAAAGAATGTAACTTAAGACTAGATAACTGTGTACATGATGGACCATTTTCTTTTTTTGGCTGGGTCGAGAAATCATATAAAATGCAGGGTGTTCAGCATGGAGATCACTCTCAGAACACTGGGAGGGTCTGGCACTCGATGGGGGTTAGTTGCTTGGCAGCCTGCCTGCCACTGAGGGAAGTCCCATTAGAGACGTATCCCCACCTTGTCACCAACAGGATGATGTTACCAGGTAATAAACCCTCATCTTGTATCTTGGCTTCAGTAAATTTGAACTTAGCTGACGGTAGTTTCCTAATTTTATTGTAAGTGGCTTTAAAGAAGTCTCATCCAAGTTATCACACAGCACTTAACCCAGCCCTGGGATTTACTGTCTTGATGACTAAATGGCTCTGCACAGTGTGAGATGCTTCAGTGTGCAAGGCAGCAGCGGGGGGGAGGTCTTCACAGGGACAGCTGGCAAGAGACTTCCCGAGGCACATCAATCATGTTGGTCAATTTAGGGCACGGTCTGGTTCTGTAGCTTTGAAAGGCTGATTCTATTAGCACACTTTACAAGAGGGATGGGGATTAACTCAGTCACCAGAAACGAAATACCCCTTCAGAAATTCAGAGACCTCTGATGAACAGAACAGACATTTGGGCTTTAATTGCTAAAGCAGCTACCTACTTGGGGAAACCATGGCATTCTGCTGCCTGGACAGCAGGAATTAAGATTTCAGAGTTGCTGGCACCAGAACAGAGCCTCTCAGCTCGCTTCACCTTGGCAACCTTAAATAGTCCCTCTTCGGTCTCCATGATAGCAGTATGTTCCTTTGGATAGAATACTTAGTTTGGAAAGAATGTAGTCAAATGTGGGATATGTAAGCACCCCTCAACGGTCACAATCCATCCTAGTATCTTATATAATGATTTGTTTTTTAATTTATTGGACTTACGGTTCCTCGTGGCTGGGAAGGCCTCACGATCACGGCGGAAGGTGAAAGCCACGTCTCACATGGCAGCAGATAAGAGGAAAAAAAGGTAGTGATCTTTTAGTAAAAAACCTGAGACTGGTAGTGGGCTTGGAGCCAGAGGATCGCTTGAGTCCAGGGGTTCGAGACCAGCCAAGGTAACAAATTGAGACCCCAACTTTAAAATTAAAAAACAAAAGAAAAAATAGCTGGGTGTGGTGGCTCACACCTGTAATCCTAGCACTTGGGGAGGCCAAGGCGGGTGGATTGCCTGAGCTCAGAAGTTCGAGACCAACCTGGGCAACATGGTTGAAACCCTGTCTCTACTAAAACATAAAAAATTAGCCAGGAGTGGTGGCATGCACCTGTGGTCTCAGTTACTCCGGAGGCTGAGGCACAAGAATTGCTTGAACCTGGGAGGTAGAGGTTGCAGAGATTATGCCACCGCACTCCCAGCCTGGGTGACAGAGCAAGACTGTCTCAAAAACAAAAAACAAACAAACAAAAAAAAATTTGTCTTAAAAAAAATGAAAAAAATTTAAATTTAAATTAAAAAGAAAAAAAAAAAAGGTTGGGCGTGGTGGCTCCTGCGTGGAATCTCAGTACTTTGGGAGGCTGAGGCAGGCAGATCACGAGGTCAGGAGATAGAGACCATCCTGGCCAACATGGTGAAATCCCGTCTCTACTAAAGAAGGTACGCGGCGCCTGTAGTCTCAGCACTCAGGAGGCTGAGCCAAGAGAATTGCTTGAACCTGAGAGGCGGAGGCTGCAGTGAGCTGAGATTACACCACTGCACTCCAGCCTGGTGACAGAGTGGAACTCCGTTATAAAATAAACTAAAATAAAAAAGAACAAAAATATAAAATGTAAAAAAAAAAAAAAAAAAAAAGGAAAAAAGAACCTGATTGCCTTGGTGAGTCAACACTGGATATCTTCTGACCATTATTTGAAACAAAAAAGGAAACCACTGATATTCTATGCAAAGACCTGTTCCTGGAAGCCACTCTGTGGAGACACCAGGAGAACTTTTCTCAGTCCTTCATTGATTTGAAGTAAAAGTGCTAAAGCAATGTTTGTGGGTGGCAACCCATTAGCAGATCACAAAATCAACGTAGTGGGTAACTGAAAAAGAGAAAACACAAGATGGTATCCTGTGTAACTGGGGTTAAGCGTTACTCTCTGAAACTCACGGCATCGGTTTCCTCTTAGGCTCTTCCAACACAGTATAATCGCGTTCATTTCAGTTTACAATCCTTGCATTCCCATCGATTTGTGAGATTATACCCAGGTCATCCACAGTGGAGGTCTGAAAATGTTCTTAGTTGTACTCTAATTTCACTAACTGCCAAAAGCTTTTCCAGAATAATCTCAGTCACTTCATTCCTTTAAAGATGAAGCCCGAAGAAGGCATGGCGATTACTTTAGAGGAACAATTAGCAGCAGAGGCAGGGCTGTGCTGATTCCATCTGGCATGGCTAGTAGCTAACCTATAAAACAGGAGAATAATTTGAAGTAACAGCCAAGGAAGTGACTCAAAACTGAATGCTATGTAACAACTAATTTGGGAGAAAAAGGCAGTCAGTCTAAGAGCACTCATTCTCACCACCAGCAGGCATGTGTGCGTTGGGGGAGCATAACGGGGCACTATCACATCATTTTGGTGCAGGCTGGTGGGGATCCAGGATGACTCATTTTAAGGAGACAGTACCTCTGAGGGAGCAGTTGCTGGTAAGAGGCCAGTAAACAACTCTGGATATAAACATTTCAAGTCAAATCTTATGGTTTACTTGAGTTCTGTAGCCAAGTCCACTCAGCAGACAATAACCACTTGATAAGCTGCCCTTTTCACTGTTTTACTTGCAGGCTATAAACTACTGGGGCCAGTTTTTAGGCTCATTAAATCTAACCCAGAATACAGCTTCTTTGGTGTCCAGCAAAAACACAACCTTAAACACAAAGAGTTTGCACACACCTCCCATTTCAACAGAAAAGAAAGGCAATCTGTGTGCACTTCAAGCCTGGCATTCAAATGGGAACAAAGCCGGGCACCCCACCCTCCAGCACCACTTGGCTTCTTTCTTGCTCACACACCAGTCCTGACATTCAGACAGGATCTAAGCTACAAACTCAGGAGACCTCCCTGGCGTCCTTAACAAAGCACATAGAAACCAAACAGCCGTGGTTTCCCCTAAATGTCAGGACCCTGGAGCAGAGGCAAGGTCAGAGTCGTCAAGCATGCTCACTGCCACAAGCTGGCATACATCCTACATTCCACTCTGTTTCTAAGAGCACATTCATTTTCTTGAAATAAGTAACAAACACTTTCATTCCACAATCAGGGCATAAATCAAATCCTGGCTACTTGTGCATTTCCGCCACCTCATACAGCCTGTATCCTCAGAGCCATAATCAAAGGACTAGAGAAAGCAGGGCAACCACACACTGGCTTTTCACGTTTTAGAGGAATGATGCTCTCTAGACTGGGCTCTCAGCAGGATATGCTGAGGGGAAAAAAGCGGGAAAAAAACATGGAGCCAAACCCTTAAGCCTCAGAATAGATGATTTCCCTCAGTCCAGATTTTCAGACAGGGATAACTAACCATCACAGGCTTGTGGGACTTCTTAGGGCTATGAAAGATGTAAAAACAAAGCTTACAAACAGGAAAGCAATCATTTCACTTGTTTCCGGCAAAGCAGTTCAGTTTTGTCTCTTATTGCGGACACCTAGCAACAAAACGCCACTAAAGTCTCCCTGCCCCTTGGCATCCATTGCTTTAAGTCCAGAGCAGGGGAAGCAAAAAAGATTACCACTCCCCCAAACCAAGCCTGTTTACCAGTTCGTCTACTTACATGCATTAAAGACATGGCAATTTGGGTCCGGGTCCAGGTCCTGGTTCAGGGCAACTGCCACAATGTGGCTACTAAAGGATCCTTTTCCGGCCTCAGAAACTGAGGCTCACTGCACCTGGGAAGAAGAGAAATTAAGAAAAAAAACTACTTAAGAAGATACACGCAGAGTAACTCTCAAGCAGCTTAAAATTTCTGTAAGGCAAACTTGGGAAACTGAGTTTCAGATATTCAAATTCCACACTGAAAGGCCTTTCTTTGCCTTCAGACAGGGATAACTTGACATCATCATGGACTCAGCTCCCCTCAACCTGCTGGCCCATGGCACTAACAGCCACAGCACATGCAAACTATTTTTTTATCAAATTGTTCACTTCCCTCACGCAAACTCTGCGGAGCAAGAATGTGACTTTCAGTTTTGTTTTGTTGTTTTTCTTGAAACAGTTTCACTCTTGTTGCCCAGGCTGGAGTGCAATGACCCGATCTCAGTTCACTGCAACCTCCACCTCCTGGGTTCAAGTGATTCTCCTGCCTCAGCCTCCCAAGTAAGCTGGGATTACAAGCATGCGCCACCACGCCAGGCCAATTTTGTATTTTTAGTAGAGATGGAGTTTCTCCATGTTGGTCAGGCTGGTCTTGAATGCCCGACCTCAGGTGATCGACTTGCCTCAGCCTCCCAAAGTGCTGGGATTACAAGTGTCAGCCACCACGCCCTCCAGGCTTTCAGTTTTTTAAGACAGAGGATTAAAGATTTGCCCAAGAGCTACTTAAAAATAGCCAGCACTACAATCTCACTATAATAAAATCCTTGCACTAAAAACAGATCAGATCATCTAATTCAAGCTTGTCTAACCCACAGCCTGCATGTGGCTCAGGACGGCTTTGAATGCAGCCCAACACAAATTTGTAAACTCTTACATCATGAGATTTTTTTTTTAGCCCATCAGCCATCATTAGTGTTAGTATATTTTATGTGTGGCCCAAGACAATTCTTCTTCCAATGTGGCACAGGGAAGCCAAAAGATGACACCCCTGATCTAGTTACTACCCATTTGCTCTTGGACTGGCCACATGATTCCCGGACTCCACCCCAGAGCCATTCTCACCCATGCCTGGAGGTGAGGCCCAGGAATGTGTATATTTTAACACTTTGTTGGTGGTTCTGATGTAATAGTCAGGTTTTGAAATCACTAACCCTGTTTCACAGATGAAGAAATAAGACTGGTGAGAAAACAGGCTGAGACTAGGGCCCAGATCTAGTTAGCCTAATGTGTGGTATACAGGAGTTTCTCAACCTCAGCTCTACTGACATACTGGGTGGATCAGTTATTCCTCATGCAGGCTGTCGTGTGCATTGTAGGATATTTATTTATTTATTTACAGAGTTTCGCTCTTGTCACCCAGACTGGAGTACAATGGTGCGATCTCAGCTCACTGCAAATTCTGCCTCCTGGGTTCAAGAGATTCTCCCGCCTTAGTCTCCTGAGTAGCTGGGATTATAGATGCCCACCACCACACCCAGCTAATTTTTGTATTTTTAGTAGAGACAAGGTTTCACCACATTTGCCAGGCTGGTCTCGAACTCCTGACCTCAGGTGATCCACCCACCTCGGCGTCCCAAAGTGCTGGAATTACAGGCATGAGATAAATATCCAGGCCCGGCCAGGATATTTATTAATAACAGCATTCACTGGAGGCCAGGAACACCATCCCTCCCCAGTTGAGAACTGCCAGTCTAACTCAGTAACTGCTTGTATAACTTTGGGCAAGAGAACTCTCTAAGCCTCACTTTTACTTACTTAACAGCAGAGTGGGGGAAAAAATTTACCTCACTTGGGGTTGATATTAGAAATACTATTTATGGCCGGGCGCGGTGGCTCACGCCTGTCATCCCAGCACTTTGCGAGGCTGAGGCAGGCGGATCACCTGAGGTCGGGAGTTCGAGACCAGCCTGACCAACAAGGAGAAATTCCCCAGCTACTTGGGAGGCTGAGGCAGGAGACTAGCTTGAACCCGGGAGGCAGAGGTTACTCTGAGTCAGGATTGCACCATCGCACTCCAGCCTGGGCAACAAGAGCAAAACTCTATCTCAAAACAAACAAACAAACAAACAAAAAATACTCTGTGAGAGTGCTTGGCAAGGACCCTAGCAAAAGGAATTCCATACTACTTCCATTATCTGGGCAAACATAACCCTGGAAGACCAACACATCCCCAAAACTAACAAACCAATACTTAAAGGGGACCATAAGCATACTCAAGTCTATGAAAGAATTTAAAATCTCACCATTTAAAGAAACTTCATCATGAAGATCCTTACACTCAACACCTTAAGGTGATGGGTTTTCACATGACTGTTTCCAAGGCCACAGCCAACACCTTTAATCTAAAAGAGAAGGATAACAGGCTTCATTCTAACAGAAACCACCTTAAGGTTTATTCTCCAGATCTGTATTAAACGGCTGAGCCTCAGCGAGTCAGACCTCCTCACAAAAGATACCATTTCAGACAGGGATAACTTTAGATCATCCTCAGCTCAGACAATAACAAAGATGCCTAAATCCCAGCAATCCAAAATTCATTTGCCACGTCTCTTTCCATCCCTGCATGCCCTAACAAGGATCCACGTTGGTTACAGTGACATCTAGTGGCCCCAAATTACACGGGTACAGACCCTACTCATTTTTATCATTAAAATAATTAGTATTCTGAATTCTGAGTAACTTCTTACCATAGCTGGCTTGTATGTCAACATGTATTCTCACACTTGAACTTCAGAATAAAGCAGGACGTGAATGTATGTGATAGCACCATCTGTGCTTTCTCATTTTTGGTGACCACTCAGGCCTTGCCTGAACCCATTCTTACTCATGTTAGGGCTCCATCCATTACTCTGCTCCTTCAACCTGGAGCTCTGCTTTTCACCGTCTCTGCAGATGCCAAAGAAAGGCCTCTGAGGAAGGAAAAAAGGCTCGTTGTTAAAACTACGGCTTTCCAGAAGAAGTTTACAATCCTATTGATTCCCATCTGTAAAGTTAAATATAAACTACCGATCGGGGCCGTCCTCAAGGCACTTCAAATGGAATCACGTCTTCACACGTTAACACTCCTGATGCTGAATTAAGAACCACCATCGTCAGAGTTTGCCCGTGCGCGGACACCGAAGACCCCCGGGCGTGCACGCTCAGCACACGCGCGGCGGAGGCGCACGGGGCTGCCCAGGATGTCAGGCCCCCCTCCCCGGCAGAAGCCGGCCCTATGACGCCTAGGACGGGCTTGAGCTCTCTCCCTTCACGTAACACCTTCTCGCCGTTTGGAAAGCATTTTCTCATCCAGTACTTCTAACCCTCCTAATCACCCTACCAGAGAGAAACGAGCTTATCGTCACCACTTCGTCTCTGAGGAAGGGAGGCCAAGTGTGTTAGTGTCGTGTCAAGGAAGACCCCGTTTTCCCACTCAGGCAGCCTTACCATCATCACTAAAGGCCTGAAGCTGCTCGCCGCGCTCAACACCAACGCCAGCAGCCATGTCTTCCAGCCACGCGGCCGACCTCGAAAAGAACGCGAGATCGCGCCTGCGCACAAGTCTTCTCGGCAAGCTCTCTCCGGAACTCTCGCGATGTTGAGAAAGGGCTGATGGGAAATGTAGTTCAAAACTGCAGTCACTGGGGGCTGGCCGCGTCCTCAGCACGACCCTGGAGCTGGGGGTAAGATGGTGGCCGCCACCAGGGGCAGTGGAGGGTCGGAGTGGGAAACCAGGCCTATAAAGAACCACGGCTGTCAGAAAACGAAGCTGGAGGTTCACTTCTGCCAGAAAGTCATTGAGCATCAGCACCGGTTGTCCCTGGTCGAGACTGGGGAAGCACAGAAAGTTCAAGGGGCCAGGGACGGATGAGGAAACCGGGGCTTGGCCGAATATCTTTTTTAATTGCTCTGCGTATTTTATTTGGGGGAGGATAGGGGCATTTGGAGTGGTTCGCTGGGTTAGTGAAGAGGAGAGATTCCAAGGGAATCGTTCAACCTCCCGCTCAGGTGTTTTTAAGATTGGGGCGAGGCCGGTGAGGCCGAGGCGCGGGCGGCAGGGGGCGCTCGAGAGCGACGGGGTTCCGCCTCCGCGGCTGCCGGAGGGTCCGGGCGGAGTGTGCTTTTCATTCCGAGAAGAGAAAAAAAGGCAAGTGTCACGAGTTGAATTACGAAAAGAACGGAGAATGATGTAACACCCACTGCTCTTCTGGATGTTATTTTTGAGGCAACCACTTTGGCTTCATTTTTTTTTTTTGGTTTCTGGGTTTTCTTGGTTTGTTTTTGAGACGGGGTTTCACCCTGGCACGCAGGCTGGAGTGCAGTGGTGCAATCATAACTTATTGCAGCCTCGACGTCCCGGGCTCAAGTGATCCTCCTGCCTCAGCCTCCCAAGTGGCCAGGGTGACAGGCGAGCACCACCACGCCCAGCTGATTATTTTTATTTTGCAGAGATGAGGTCTCACTGTGTTGCCCGGGTTGGTCTCAAACTCCTGGCCTCAAGCAACCCTCCTGTTTTGGCCTCCCAAAGTGCTGGGATTACAAAGGTGAGCCACTGCGCCCGGTCTGGCTTCATTTTTGAAATAAAAATAAGGCAAAAATGACAACAATCAGGGCCAGAATTTGCACCTATTTGAAAACTAGTTTAAATTTGCAAGACCAAGAGCCTTTTCTCCATTCCAGTCTCCCCGTTCTCATCCACCCATTAACAGTGATCTCTGTGGCCTTCGGTGTGGATTATATTGTCCTGCAGATGGTGATATGTTGCAGATACATATTTTCAAATTACCACATTTGTTTATGTTTACCTCCTTTCATTTGATTGTAAGCTCTTCAAGGGCTTTTTATTTTAATTTTTTTATTATTATTATTTTTTGAGACAGAGTTTCACTCTTGTTGCCCAGGCTGGAATGCAGTGGTGCGATCTCGGCTGACCACAACCTCTGCCTCCCAAGTTCAAGTGATTCTCCTGCTTCAGCCTCCCAAGTAGCTGGGATTACAGGCATGCGCCACCACGCCCAGCTAATTTTGTATTTTTAGTAGAGACGGGGTTTCTCCATGTCAGGCTGGTCTCAAACTGCCGACCTCAGGTGATCCACCCGCCTTGGCCTCCCAAAGTGCTGGGATTACAGGTGTGAGCCACCATGCCCAGCCTCTTTTTTTTTTTTTTCTTTTTAATTTCTTAACAGTGCAGGGTTTGGTGTTTACCTGCTATGCTAACAGTAAGTCTTCGCAAATAATCATTAATTCATTCAGCAGTAATTCTGGCCATTGGGTTTCTCTACCTTACCCTTGAAGACACATCATTTTGTGTAATACTGAAAGGAAGAATGTGTTCTGTCCCTGCAAACATAGTTCCTTTCCTTTGAGACTTGCAGTGGGAATTCTAAGTGTGAATTTTCCAAAAGCTGCTAGCGGGCTGGTGACCTGCTGTAGACAAAATAGTAATGAGAGCTAATACTTCATAGCACTTACCAGGTGCCACTCCTTACATTGATTTCTGTACATGTATGAACTCGTTTAATCCTCACAATGCGGTGAAGTACTACTGTCAGAGGCGCTGGAAACAGAGAACTCCATCTTGAATAGGAGCTGGGTGAAATGAAGCTGAGACTTACTGGGCTGTATTCCCGGACAGTTAAGGCATTCTAAGTCACAGGATGAGATAGGAGGTTGGCACAAGATACAGGTCATAAAGACCTTGCTGATAAAACAGGTTGCAGTAAAGAAGCCCGCCAAAACCAAAACCACAATGGCAGTAAGAGTGACCTCTGGTCGTCCTCACTGCTACACTCCCACCAGCGCCATGACAGTTTACAAATGCCATGGCAACCTTATGAAGTTACCCTATATGGTCTAAAAATGGGAGGCATAAATAATCCACCCCTTGTTTAGGATATAATCAAGAAATAACCATAAAAATGGGAAACCAGTAGCCCTCAGGGCTGCTCTGTGGAGTAGCCTTTTTGTTTGTTTGTTTGAGACAGAGTCTCGCTCTGTCACCCAGGCTGCAGTGGTGCTGTAACCTCCGCCTCCCGGGTTCAAGCCATTCTCCTGCTTCAGCCTCCTGAGTAGCTGGATTACAGGTGCACGCCACCATGCCTGGCTAATTTTTGTATTTTTAGTAGTGATAGGGTTTCACCATGTTGGCCAGGCTGGTGTTGAACTCCTGACCTCAAGTGATCTGCCTGCCTCAGCCTCCCAAAGTGCTAGGATTACAGGCCTGAGCCACCATGCCCGGCCAAGTAGCCATTCTTTTATTCCTTTACTTTTCTAATAAACTTGCTTTCACTTTATAGACTCACCCCAAATTCTTTCTTGCTCAAGATCCAAGAACCGTCTTTTGGGACCTGGATCAGGACTCCTCTCTGGTAACACTATCACTGTTCCCATTTTACGGATAAGGAAACAGTAGCACTGGGAAATTCGGTAACTTGCCCAAATTCACATAACCAGTAACGGCAGGGTCAGACTTTGCTCCCAGCCTGTAGAATCCATGCTTTTACCACTAATGAATAAGGTGACCTTATGTATAAGGACTTTTGTTTTGGGGGAGGAAGGGAGAAGGAAGAAGATTTTCATGTGTTTGTAGGGGTGGTTGGGGACAAAATCAGAAATGAGGTTGAAAGGAGGAACAGTGGGCACCTGCTCTGCCATTTGAGCCACTTCATGGCAGGAAGAGTGAGGGTGGGAGGCTGCAGAGCTGATGTGTGGAAGATGGAGGCTCCGGGCTCTAGCAGGGCTATATTGGGCCTGGATGCCACCCAGTGTATAGTGAGGGCCATTCTTTATAGCTCCTCGCTCCGCCGCAGGCCACGAAGTCGCCTTCACACCTGACTGGACACTGCTTCCCCAACAGCAGCTTCATGGCAGATAGGGATGCCAGGGCAGCTGGGCAGTGGCCAAGAGGCTGGAGTGAAATACAATGAGAGGCCATGTGCCTAAGCACATGTAAAGTACACTGTGCAGCCAACCCAGAAATAACTGGGGAGACTTCAGAGAATGCATCAGAATTCCTGAATGAGCCGGCAAGGGCTCAGAGCTGTTGAGACTGAAATGTGGATGTTACTGTGATCTCATTTGCACTCGTTGCTGGTGAGAGCTAGGACATTTGAGTTTTACCTACCGTGGAATTATTATGCAGCCATTATACCAGGCTAGTGCAGACCTCTATTTATTGACATGGGAAGAGTCACAGTCTAGTGACCCTTTACAAACAGGAAGGCAGAAGTCCCCAGCGCTTTTCAGGGACCCAGGCTCTGATACAAAGGGAGAATTCAGTCAACTGGCCTATTGTGTTGGGGTGGTCACTGACGGGGTTTAAGACATGGTATCTGAAACCCACAGTAATAGAAAACAGTCTTTGGGCTGGTCGCAGTGGCTCACGCCTATAATCCCAACACTTTGGTTGGCCAAGGCAGGAGGATCGCTTGAGCCCAGGAGTGCAAGACCAGCCTGAGCAACATAGGGAGACCTCCATCTCTATAAATAAAAAATTAAAAATGAAAAACATCCAGGTGTGGTGGCACATGCCTGTGGCCCCAGCTGGATGGGAGGCTGAGATGGGAGGATTGCTGGGGCCCGTGAGATTGAGGCTATGCAGTGAGCCATGATTGCATCACTGCCCTCCAGCCTGGGTGACAGAGCAAGATCTTGTCTCAAAAAAATAAATACATAAAAATAAAGAAAACAGTCTTTAGAATATTGAGGTTAATTTCTCTACCCAGAAAGCAATCTTTAATTGTATTAATGAGAACACAAAACAAGGTAGGTAGTATCCCAAGCAGCTGACTGCTTACATTTGGAACGGTGGCAGCAGCGGCATCACAGGAAGCACATCTGTATGTCAGGCACTGTTAGCGGCCAGTCTCTTCCTCCATCTGATGAACCTAGGCTCTGTTCAGCTGCTGGGCAAGGGTCTGCTTCAGCAGGGGCAAGCCCCTCCCTAGCCCCCAGGGGCAAATCTTCATTCATCTGTACCAGACATGGTCAGTCTATTCCCTTCGCTGGAAATTGTTTTGGGAAAGGGTCTCCGATGCAATTCTGGCCAAGTTTGGGAAAGTTTTCCTGCTTTTAAAAACAACAGCCTTTTTTCTGGCTTTGGGACACTGTGAAGAAGTGATGCTGGGCCTGCTGGAGCCATCTTGCATCTGCAAGGCTTCCATTAAGTAGAAGCTGAAGGACTGCGATGGCAGAGTAGAGAGAAGAAAGAACGTGAGTCCTCGGTGATGCTGCTGACCTGCAGAAGCCGCCAGTCCCGACACCCCCGAACTTCAGACCTCTTGTTTTGATTCAGAGACACATTTGTACATTTCATATATATACACACACACACACACACACACACACATACACGTATGGTTTTTTTTTCTTTTTTTGAGACAGAGCTTTGCTCTTGTCACCCAGGCTGGAATGCAGTGGCATGATCTCGGCTCACTGCAACCTCCCTCCACCTCCTGGGTTCTTGTGATTCTCCTACCTCAGCCTCCCAAGTAGCTGGAATTACAGGCGTGCACCACCACGCCCAGCTAATTTTCGTATTTTTAGTAGAGACAGCATCTCACCATCCTGGCCAGGCTAGTCTTGAACTCCTGACCTCAGGTAACTCGCCCACCTCAGCCTCCCAAAGTGCTGGGATCACAAACATGAGCCACCACAGCCGGTTGCATTTTCACATTCTTAAATGCAGGATGTGTCTTGCAAGCAATGGCATCTCAGTTTGAGTGAATTACAAAATGTGAGATTTTAGGCCGGGCACAGTGGCTCACGCCTGTAATCCCAGCACTTTGGGAGGCCGAGGCAGGCGGATCACGAGGTCAGGAGATCGAGACCATCCTAGCTAACATGGTGAAACCCCGTCTCTACTAAAAATGCAAAAAAAAGAAAATTGGCCGGGTGTGGTGGGGGGTGCCTGTAGTCCCAGCTACTCTGGAGGCTGAGGCAGGAGAATGGCTTGAACTCGGGAGGCAGAGCTTGCAATGAGCGGAGATCGCACCACTGCACTCTAGCCTGGGTGACAGAGCGAGACTCCATCTCAAAAAAAAAAAAAAGTGAGATTTAAAAAAGAAATCTTATTAAGTCATTTTAAGTTGGGTGTTCTATTTCAGTCAAATCATCCTAAATGATATCTTTTAAAAATAATTCTTCCCAGAAGAATGGATCATGGCAGAATACAGAAAATGAGCTGATGTGTGCAAGCGTCCTTTCTGAAGTAACAACAGCTATGTGTATATGAAATGTTTACTCTGTGGTAGGTACTCTGGAAGCACCTTTTATTCACTGTCTCATCTGATTCTCATGACAGCCCTGTCATTATCACTGCCCCCCCCCTTCCCATTTCGCAGCTGAGGAAGTCAAGGTGCAGAAAGGTTAAAGGAATTCATAAGTGAAGCACTGAGATCTGAACTCAAACAATCCAGCTAAAAACTCATGGTCTCAGCCACCATGCTGTGTTGCCTTAAAAAATTACACTATGACAGTGGAACGTTTTTGCTTAACTCCAGAGACTTTAATTCACCCACCTAGAAAACCTGTCATGAAAACATAGAGGATTTTTTTCCTGAGAGTTCTTAGGACCATGAAACAGTGTTGCAAATCCTGTTCAGAAATCTGGGACCATGCAGATGACCAGGCAGATGGAAGAAAAGTAAAAATATGAAAATAAAAAACAAAACCTGGGATCAATGCTTTCAAGTTTCACCTAGCTTTAACTTTCTGGAGGAGGAGAAATACGACACAGACCCTATGCATTGAGAATAGATGGCGTTGGAGTTGTGGATTGTCTGTGCTTGCCAAACAGCATCCAGGAAGAAAAGCAATGCATTTGACTTCCCTGCTTGGCAGAGCCACTGCCTCTAGAGTATTACTCAAAAACTGATTTTTTTAAAATAAAAATAAATGAATTTGTAGACGATATAATGTTCCATGGATCTCTTCTGTTATTTCCTGGGCATGTCTCTCCATGCCCAGAAACCTTGCCTTCTCACAGCTGTTGCATAACCTTTGCTTGTGGTGGTGTTTGTTCCTGTTGCCTTGAAAGTCCCTTCGCTGCATTCTCTTCTCTGCTCAGCAAATTCCAGCTTCTACTTAAATACCTCCTCTGTGAAGTTTTGACTGAGATGCTGCAACAATTCCCGAGCTGTTTCCTCGTGGCACCTTCCTGGTGGCAGGTGGATTAGCACATTGTCTGCAACCCAGGACGACCTGGAGGAAAGTCCCAGCTCTACTGATTCTAACTGAGTAACCTTGGCAAAAGTCACCTCACTTCTCTCTGAGTCTTATTTTCTCATCTGTAAAATGAGGAGGAGGTCCTCATCATCCAAACATCACGGGACTTCGTTAGGTCAGTGCTTCGGAGCACTTAGCACAGCGCCTGGCACAAGGTAAGCACTTGATAAATGGGAGTTCGTGTTATTTCAGCATACTTTGAATACTCATCCCACTGTTTTATGATGATTTGTTTGCATGTCTGGCTTTTCTGCTAGATGATGAGTAAAACAAGCATCAATCTTCATTCTTGTTTTGTTTCTAACTCTAAATCATCTTTATTCTGGTGTAACTTACATACAATACAGTATAACCATTCACAATGTATGGTTCATTAGTCCAATAAGTGTATAGACCCATGTAACCACAATCCCAGTTAAGATTTAGAACATTTTTGTCACCTCAAAAGCACCTTCTTAGGTGGGGTGCAGCACTTCGGGAGGCCGAGGCCGGTGGATCACCTGAGGTCAGGAGTCCGAGACCAGCCTGGCCAACGTGGTGAAACCCCGTCTCTACTAAAAATACAAAAAATTAGCCAGGCATGGTGGTGGGCACCTGTAATCCCAGCTACTTAGGAGGCTGAGGCAGGAGAATTGCTTGAACCCAGGAGGTGAGGTTGCAGTGAGCCAAGATTGCACCATTGCACTCCAGCTTAGGTGACAAGAGCAAAACTCCGTCTCAACAACAACAACAACAACAAAAACCTTCTAGGCCGGGTACGGCGGTTCATGCCTGTAATCCTAGCACTTTGGGAGGCCGAGGCAGGCAGATCACTTGAGGTCAGGAGTTCAAGACCAGCCTGGCCAATATGATGAAACCCTGTCTCAACTAAAAATACAAAAATTAGCTGGGCGTGGTGGTGCATGCCAATAATCCCTGCTACTGAGGAGGTGAAGGTTGTAGTGAGTTGAGATTGCACCACTGCACTCCAGCCTGGTCGACAAAGTAAGACTCCGTCTTACTTTGCAGTCAACAAAACAAAACTTCTTACCCTTGCAGTCAACCCCCACGATATCTAACCCCAGCCCCAGTCAACCACTAATGCCTTCTGTCACTAACAGTCGGGTTCTGCCTGTCCTAGAATTCCATGCACATGTCATCATCACACAGTAGCTGCTCTTTTGTGTCTGGCTTCTCTCGGTTTACCCATGTCGTTGGCATCAGCAGTTCATTTCCTTTTCATTGCTAAGGATTATTCTATCTTAATATATCTCAGTGTGTTTATTCCCATGTTGAGGAATATTTGCATTGTTTCCAGTTTGTAGCTATTACTAATAAAGCTGCCATGAACATCTTTGCAGTCTTTTTTGTGGATGTAAGTTTTCATTCCTCTGGGATAACTTTATAAGAAACCGCCATGCTGGTTTCCCAAGTGGTTGTAACACTTCACCAGTCCCCAGCCGTGTATGACAGGGTCACATCTTGGACAGTACTTACTATGGTCAGCCTTCAGCTTTAACCATTCTGGTGGGCAGGTAGTGGTATGTCATTGGGCTTTTGATTTGCATGTGAAACATCTTTCTTTCCCAAAGTGCTGGTATTACAGGCATGAGCCACCGCCCCCAGCCGCATGTTGAACATCTTTCTATGTATTTTAGCTGTATGTATATTTTTTGTTGTAGTGTCTATTAAAACCTTTGCCCGTTTTTTATTGGGCTGTCTTATTATCGAATTTTTTTTTTTTTTTTTTTGAGACAGAGTTTCACTCTTTTTGCCCAGGCTGGAGTGCAATGGCGCGATCTCGGCTCACCGCAACCTCCGCCTCCTGGGTTCAAGCAATTCTCCTGCCTCAGCCTCCCGAGTAGCTGGGATTACAGGCATGTGCCACCACCCCGGCTAATTTTGTATTTTTAGTAGAGACGGGGTCTCTCCATGTTGGTCAGGCTGGTCTTGAACTCCTGACCTCAGGTGATCCACCTGCCTCGGCCTCCCAAAGTGCTGGGATTACAAGCGTGAGCCACCGCGCCCGGCCTTATTATCGAATTGTAAAAGTGCTTTATGTATTGCGGATACTAGTCCTTTCTCAGATTTTTGTTTGGCAAATATTTATTCCCGGTGTTTCCAAGAGCAGAGGTTTAATTTTGATAAAGTCCGGTGTATTAATTTTCTTTTCTGGTTAGTGCTTTTTGTATCCTGTTGAAAGGACCTTTCTTTCTCCATTGGATTACCTTTGCTGCATCTGTTTTTGGATTCCATTGATCTGTGTGTATATCCTTACGAATCTCACACTGTCTTGACCTCTGATTCTGTCTCCTCCTCACCTTAGCAAAGCCACTGTGGTCCACTTGGGTTTCCCCTCCCCAGGGCACAGTCAGGGAACTGTCTCCAGGCAGAAGCTGAGGCAGTCATGGGGTCACTGTCCTGTGTGCTGCCTGTTGTCAAGTGTCTGTTTCTTATATCTTGCCCAGTTTTCTGGTTGGTTGTGGCAGGTCTTAATCCGTTTCTGGATCCACAGTCCCTGGCACACAGCACCTCCAGACACAGTTCATTATAGTCGCTTTCGATTGGGAAAGTCAGTGGGGCTCCCGAGAGCTTCTGGTCCATCCCCTTCATTTTACTAAACAGCTCTTTTCCTGAGGAGATCATTAGTCCTTTATGTCTTCACTCCAGCCCACCTGGGCTTGACAAATATTTATCAAATGAGGAAACCGAGGTCTGGAGAACAAAAGGTCACAGGGATAGGCAGGGTTGGGCTGGCAGAACTAGGCCACCTAGGCTGGGGCCTTCCTATAGGACCAGCTGGCAGGGCAGGGTCTGTCTCTCCTCGAGTGTCACTCCTGACACCTGACACAGGGTTTGCACATTGCAGGTTCCCAGGACACACTTGTTAAATAAATGACCAAATTAACACATTTATTTCTTTTAATGCTGAGTTCAAATGGCTTCTGCCTCTGCATATGATATTGTGTGTATGTTTGTGTATGTGTATGTTTCTGTGTGTGTCTGTGTGCATGTGTATGTGTGTTTATGTGTATCTGTGTGTGTGTGTGTATCTGTATGTTATGTGTCTATGTCTGTATGTGTGTGTCTGTGCATATGGGTGTATGTCTGTATGTGTATGTGTGAATGTGTGTGTGTGTGCGTATGCATGTGTATCTGTGATTGTGTGTGTCTGTGTCTGTGTGTGTATGTGTGTGTATGTGTGTATGTGTATGTGTGTGAATGTATATGTGTATGTCTGTGTATGTGTGAATGTGTGTGTGAATGTGTGTGTATGTGTGTGTGAATGTGTATGTGTATGCATATGTCTGTGTGAATATGTGTGTTATGTGTGTCTGTGTATGTCTGTGTGTATGTGTATGTATGTAAATGTATATGTGTATGTCTGTGTATGTGTGAATGTGTCTGTGTGTGTGAATGTGTGTGTGTGTGAATGTGTATGTGTATGTATATGCCTATGTGTGAATGTGTGTTATGTGTGTCTGTGTATGTCTGTATGTGTATGTGTGTGGATATATATATGTGTATGTCTGTGTATGTGTGTGTGAATGTGTGTGTCTGTGTGTGAGTGTGTATGTGTCTGTGTGTGTATGTATGTGTATGTTTGTATATGTGTATGTCTGTCCACGCGTGTGTGTGAATGTATGTGTTTCTGTGTATCAATGTGTTTGTATGTGTGAATGTATGTGTCTCTGTGTGTGAATGTGTGTGTGTGTGTGTGTGTGTGTGTGTGTTCACATAAGGATAGGATTGGCCTCTCCTACCCAGGCTCACAGGCTGAGTCTGTTAGTAAATTTTTAAAAATTTTCTCAGCCCCCCACTACAGCCGTAATCCCCACTAGGGGGCACATGTGTCCCACAGAGAGGGTCTGTGCTCCTTAGGCACAAGGACTGGCTGCCAGCTGTCAGCGGATCCCCCTCAAACCACCTCCTTGGTCTCCATGCTCTGCACCCTCCCCCTGCAAAAACAAATCAAAACAGCCTTCCTCACCAGGCTCCCGTCTCCAGCTGGGCTGCTAGCTACCGTCCTGTCCTCTCCCCAGGGCCTGCCCCTGGCGGAAGGAGGCAACAGAGTGGCAGTGGCAGTGGCAGTGGCAGTGACTATGGGTGATGACCTCGCTGTCTGTCATCCCTGCCAGGGGCCACCACGTCCTCCCTGTGGAAGACTGGGGGATCCTAAAGGGGCAGCTGTCTTCTCCCCCTCACCTGGCAGGTAAGAACCAGCCTCTCAGGGCCCAGAGTCTGGTCTGCCCTTGAATGTGAGTTTCTGAAGACAGAACAGTGGTGATGACCCTGGCCAACACCAGCCCACCTGCAAAGGCAGGGCAGGCAGGCCCACAGCTCCATTCCTTGTGCCTTGTAGACAGGTCAAAACCAGAATTTCCTCACGGCCCCCACCTCGAGACTCGGCCCCCTCTATCCCAAGCTTTGGCATCAAATTTCCCAGGCTCAGGTCCTGGCTTCGCTGCCAGCTATGAGTGACCTTAAGCAAGTTCGGTGAACCTCACTTTCCTTATTGGATAAACGATAACCGTTCCTGCCGCATAAATGAAACAGTGCGTAAAATACAGCAGCTGGCACGGTGCCTAGCACATAGTAAGCGCCCAATGCATGTTAGTGGTTATTAATCATATGGTTAGTATCTTCATTATATTAACATAAGCTTCTGTGCGAACCACTTTGATGTTCTTCTGAGGTTCACAAAGAAGCATTATCTTCTTCTAGCTCTAGGTCTTGGGCTTCTTCCCAACAGCAGAGGGGCTACGGGAGCCTGAGGAACCAGCAGGGTTCGCTCTCTCGCCATCATGCCTGTCTCAGAGCGGGCACCGTGCCCTACCCATCTAGTCTCGGCCCAGCACCTCTGCTGTTTGCCCTTGCCCAGGACTGTCTGCGCACCCACACACATACACACAACCAGACACACACAACCACACACACACACAACCGCACACTTGGAGTGGGTGGGTACTCCCCAGGGTGACAGTGGACAGCCACAGCTGTGGTGGCTACTTCCCTCACCCCCACCATACCCCCGCCACCTCATTAGTTCCCTGGTCATGCTCCAGTCTCCAGGAGAGACTGGCAGCCACCCTGAGCCTCAGTCGCAGGAGCAGCACCTCCCTGCTCCTGGCTGCTGCCCTCAGCCGCCCTGCAGCTCCAAGCAGCCTTTCCCTGTCACTCAGTCTCCCCCAGCAGAGAGATTAGCATTCACACGGAGGAAGGCACCACAGCAGGGCAGCACCTCCCATCTTGTCAAGGAGCTAAGGTTCATTCCAGAAGCAGAGCCAGCTGGGAGTGGCGGTGTCCAGGTCAAGGCCCCACTGGAGGTTGGGACACGGTTCTGGGCACAGAGAGGTAGAGGTGGTCTTCTCCAGTACAGGCTTAGAGGGGGCTTCCCCACCCCAGCAATGCCACCCTCTGCCATCCTCTAGTCTGTTGCAGAACTACTGGTCACCCAGCTCTGTGTATGTGGAGAGACAGCAGGAAGGACCACAGAGTGAGGATGTGAGGAACTCTAGCCATCCTGAATCTACCACTGTTCAGTAATTTACAGTTCAAACCGGATTGTGCCAGCTCACATATATGGGACACTTACCCAACGTGCTAAACATCTTCCACGCGTTATCTAATCAACCCTTACAACAACTCTAAGACACAGATACCAGTAGGATCTGCATCCTACAGCTAAAGAAACTGAGGCACAGAGGTGTTCAGAAACCCAGACCGCAGAAGTAGGATGTGCTGGTGGAACAAGGTTCACACCCAGGAGCTCTGACTCTGGACACCTTGCTCTTGGACTCTGTTTTTTCACAGTAGCCAGCACCCTGGACCAGAAGGGACCCCACCCTTTGCCTCAGCTCTCCCTCTGTAGTTGCCCTTTATTTGCCCTCTCCCAAGCCGCTGAGCACGCCTGCTCCCATTCCCAAGCAACGGCTCTTTGCAAGGAAAGGGAGGAAAAAGGACTCAGCCAAAGGACTCAGCCTCCGTGGGGACAGTGTCGTAGTCAGGATTTAAGCAATTCCCCCATTTGGAGGTCCACCCTTGCCCTGAGCTTCACACTAACCCCTGTGATGGGAGCCAGTGGGCCGAGGAAGGGGCACCCAGGTCCCAGGAGCCTTCTGTGGGGAGCTCTAGGCTGAGAGAGGCAACTTTCTGCAGCAGAAGCTGCAAATGTACAGATTGCGCAGAGAGCCCAGGGGTGGGAGAGGCCCCGGGAATAAGAGGCGAGCGTGGGCTGGGTGTGCGGGGAAGGTGTAAACACAATCTGCTCCCACCAAAGCCAGCCTGCTCCCTGGGGGAGACAGCCCCCCCACCCAGCCCACATGGCACCCCAGCTGCCCAGGCAACCTCCAAGCCCAGGCAACTACAGCCCCTCTGGCCGCCAGCAGCCCCTTCCTCCCTCTTTCCCGCCCTTCATCTGGATGGGATCCCTGGAGCAGCCACCGCCTCCGGTGCAGGTTCTTGGAACAGGGCTGTGGAGGGGCGCTGCCCTGGGGAGGTGCATCTGGGCCATAAGCCAGCTCTATGACCTTGGCCTGACAATTCCTCACACCAGTGGAAGGAGATGGGCAACTTGGAAATGGCAGCAAGGATGAGGTGACAGGAACATGGCAAATAGATTAGAGAATAAATGCAGATAGGATCGGGGAACACAGACGGGGTCCCAGGAACAGTGCCCTCTGGCCCTCAGCCTGACAGGCCTGTCACCGGGAAGGCCGATGCCTCCAAAGAGAGGGACAGGCTGACAGGAGCTGAGACAGACGGTCACAGGCTCACGGCCTGGGTCAGGCTGGCGCTGTGGCTTTGCCTCTGCAGGCTCCTTCCCTAGTGTGACTTTCCCCCTGCCTCCTGCCTGCCCTACTTTGAGAGGCTCCCACAGAACTGCCTTCGCACACATCCCAGCCAGGCTCCCCGAGGTACCAGCAGCCCCTCCCCAGCGGGGTACACCTCCTCCCCCACCCTGAGCACCTCCCCAGCGGTTCCCTCTCCTCTGTGGCATCCCTCACCCTTTCCCTTCCCTCCCTTCAGAGGCGGAGCGGCGGCTGAGGTGCTGCTGTCTAGAGAACTCCATCTCCTACTGCCTGGAAGTCAAGGGCAAGGGCCAGCCAGGCAGAGACAACACCACTGGGCTGGGAGGGGGCTGGCTGGGGAGGAGAGACGTGTGTGCACAGAGGCACGGGGGGCTTTTGAAGACTAATAGCTGTGAGATGTCTGGAGCAGCTGCCTGCAGGGTCTGCGCCCGGATCTGGGAGCAGAGCGGAAATCTGCTTTTATCTCTGCTCAGGATCGCGCAGGATTGGAAAAAGAGAAATGGCAGAGCAGCTGGGGGCAAAGAAGGCAGCCGCCGGGACTGAGCATCAGCAAATTGACAAAAACAAGTGTCAGGGTTTTTCCTTCCCACACGCTACTGCCCGTTTGGAACACATGCGCTCGCGCACATACAGAAAACACATTCGGAGGACAAGCTGTCAGTTGCTCCCATCCAGCTGCAGGCAGACATGTCACAGATCCAACTGGCATTTCTTATTGATAATTTCAGCAGAGCAGCCAGTGACACGATGAGCTCTGGGAACTGGGGAAAGGCAAATGACACAGAAGCAAGTGCGGCTGTGGCAAACTGACACCAGCACCTCGGACCACAAGCGGAGGCTTAACAGAATAGCTCCTGGGCTGACAGGCAGTCAGGCAGGCCAGCAAACCACCCCCAACCCGTGCAAACTGTGTTGGGTTCCAGGGGGAGGCCGCCTGCCATGGTGGGTAGGAGCGTGGGCCCTGCAGCTCCAGTGTGAGCCTGGGAGCCTCCACTTCCTAGCTAGGTGACGTTGGGCAAATTATTTAACCTCTCTCTGTGTTTTCCCATTTAGAAATTGTGGATAATAGCATTACCAGGCTCTGTGGGTGACTGAGGATTAAATTACAGAATGAATGGAAGCCCTTGCTTAGTAAACGTGAGCTATCAGCTGTCCCTTGCTCCTGGGGTCTCCTCACTCCTTATTTATTCCTACCTCTTGCCTGGGCTGCTGGCTGCCCCGGAATCAGCCTGGTGGACCCAGCAAGTCCCTCACCCTAGGTTTTCTCAGGCTTAGCAGTCCCTCAAAGAAGCCTCAGGAACTCAGAGGGAGGGAAGCCCGTCCCAGAACAGTGAGCACGTCTGCTCTTTCTGCCAGGCCCGGCCAGGTCCTGCTCAGGAGCCCATACCCAGGGCCTGGGGGAAGGGGAGATTGGCATCTACCTTCTCTAGTGCTGCTTCCCCCCATTCTCCCTCTTGCTGCTGCTCCGGCTCCCACAGCATCCTCCTGGGCTAGGGGACGAACCAGGACCTGAGCTGAAACAGAAAACCAGAACAGATCAGCACTTCTCCCACACCTGGGGATGAGACTTGCATTTCAGAGTGGATGTCCCAGAACACCACCTCTCCCTTGGACGTCCTCTGACACTGCCCTCATGCCCCAGCACGACCACCTTGCCATCCCCAAGCCTAGAAAATATGGTCAAACCACACCTGGTTTTCTTCAAACTAACCCTTGCCCCATTGCCTGGAACACAACAGGCTAAAGGTAGCAGCCAAAGGCACGAGTCCATCTGCCTACTTTGAACCTCCATCAGTGCCCACAAGAGCGGAACACTGCCTGCTATCCTCCCACATGGCCGGGCCTTGCCTATTTCTTCCTGCCTGTCCCCAGCCTTGCCCTCTGCCCTCCCCAGCTCCCAGCCCTGCCCTACCTGCCTGGGCCAGCTGATCCCAGTCTCTGGGCCTGAGCCCCACCTGCAGAGGTGAGGGCTTACTTCAGAGGTTCTTTCTCCCTAAACAGAGGAAAGCACTGGGTCAGGATTGAAGGGCACGACCTTCCCATGTTTCTGACTCTCCTCTTCCTCCTCCTCCCATCCTTATCAATTCACCCCAATATTCAGGGGCAGGTCCACCTAAGGAATCAGTTGGCATTTAGGACAGTGTGACTGGAGAGTAGAAATGTCACCCCCACCGCCAGCCCTCCACGGCAGCCACCATCAGCAGGTGGTTCCTCGATGTCAGACCAATTTTTCCACTTAACTGGGTCCTAGGGAGTTAATAGGCAACTGCTTCCTTCTGGCTAAGTCACGCCAGGCCTGGCCTGGCCAGATGGTCCTCAGATTTGGCCTTTTCTCTCCTGCCAGGAGGTCCAGGTCCATTTCATGTAGAAGAGACCCTGCCTGGAAGTCAGGGGCCTGAACGTCCCGCATTAACCACAAATGAGATAGATGATCGGGAGCAAGCCACCTAAATCTCCCTGTCCCTCCGTTTCCACAACCATTAACCAAAGATTAAAACCACATGTCCTGCCAATCCTCTGGGGTCACTGAGCCTTCCGAGCGACTTAATATATAAGAAACCTCTGGAGAAAACTAAAGCACAGGTCCCGAGCATGAAACAAGACAGCTGCTAGCATTTATGGAGCAATCACTCTGCACCCTCACCAAAACCTGGCAACCACTCTGTTATTAATCCTAGTTTACATATAAATAAACCGATGGTTTTTGTAAATTTCCCCCATAGTCTTTCCATTAGTAAGAGGGAAGCCAGGATTTAAATTATCCCTGCCCAACTCCAGACCTGGGCTCAATAGCGTGGACCACTTAGCATTTGAGGGCCTCCTATCAGGGGAGGCCCAGGGGTGGTCATTTTAGCTGATTTAACTAATGATATCAATCAGGCTCTATTATGATGATCCCAGCTGGCCTATCGAGTTGAGGTGTCACAGAAATGCCGCCATTTCCTGTACAGGCCCAGGGCTTCCCATTGGGCCTTCTGATCATCAGAATCTCAGGACTCAGAATCCCAGGACTCAGATGACAGGAGACAGAAAGACTGAAGTTCTCTCGGTTGCCAGTTTCCGCATATCAAAGGGACACATTGCTGGCAGGTCCCCACTCAGACATGGATGGTCACAGTACCCGCCACCTGAGTCCTCCCTGTGTGGAGACACCCTCCTACCAGTGGGCCCTGACCCAAAGATGTCATCGGATCCTTTTTACTCTTTGTTTCACTGGGAGCAAAAAAGTCACTCTTCAGACAGGTCTCCCATGCTAGGTGAGTCCATATGCACAGAAGGAACCGTTCATGCACTGGAACGTCATAAAGATTTGCTGATTTTTTCCAGTGTTTCGTTGGGATAGGCACCCCTATCATCAAACGACACTGGGCACCCAGGGAAGGAAAAGTCTGGAAGTTCCCCCAACTTCACCCCCTAAAGACCACATGGCTCCAGCCTAGGGAAGAGTTAACTTTCTGGCCACTGGAGACAGCGTCCTGCCCGCAGGGGCTACCCAGCCAATGGCACTCAATGCTGATGATGTCATGCTCCTCCCGCGCCTTCTATTGGGGACTGGACAGCGAATCCTGCTGGAGGCTCAGGCAGCGGAGCCGAGGCGGGGCGGGGGCAGAGGAGGAGGAGGGGGAAGGGCAAGGAAAGGCGAGCAAAGCCACACAGAGCTACTCCTGCCTCATCCCTCCCTCCACTTCCCTGTGCCTTCCGACAGAAGGTGCCCCGGGGGACCGCCCCTTACTGGAGATAGAAAAACAGCGGCTTTGGTCCAGAGGAGCGGGCTGAGGGCTCCCATTCCCAATCGCAGAAAACAGACATCCAGCCTGCCCACCAGGCCGACAGGGAGCAGGGTGCCTAGGGCAAGGGCCAGGATACGGTGCACGCACAGGCGCGCAGACAGGCATACACGTGCACCCCCAGGCGTGCACAGCCGCAGCTTCCTTGGCAGCACCCTCCCTCCCCCAGCCCAGACTCCTGCCTTACCTGCCTGAGGACTGAGGGTCCGCGTCCACGCTGCTGCCCCTAGCTGCCCCAGCCACGTCGCTGGGCTCTCTGTGGGAGCAAGAGTAGGCAGGAAGAGCTGTGGCTGTGCCCAGTCCCTCCCTGTCCCTCCACAGGTCCCGGCCGTATTGGGCTATGGACTGGAGGCTGCAACTAGAGCCTTTGAAGCTGTAAGTTCCCCTGCTCTGAGACTGAGCTCTCAAGGGTTCCTCAAAATGCCCTCCCAGCCCCCCTGAAGGTCCAGGCAGCCTCTGCCCACCTTCAGCTTGGTGGCAGCCCAGCCCCATGGTTCCCCCCAACCACCACCAACCGCCAGCCATAGCCCGGTCAGTTTCTCACGGTTGGACTCGGTTGGCAAATCGGCGGCGCCAGAGCATGGCCAGGGTGCTGAGCAGGAAAAGGGTGGTGCACATGGCGCAGCTGCCCCATCCCCTCCCAGACCAAGTCTGCAGAAGGCCACAGGCGAGGGGCCAAAATGGCCCCAGCCAGCTCTCAGGAGCCACTGCCGTCTGTCCTGCGGTTCCTGCTGGGGATGGATTAGGAGGCTCAAGCTGATTAGTGGGTCAGCGGCCGCGACCTTGTGAGGACTGATTAAGCTCGCTGGGCCCAGGTTCTCCCCTCCAGCGGTAGGGTCAAGGCGTGGAGTGTGGCATTGAGCACGTATTCGGAGTGTCGATCTGATGAGACTGGGCCTTGCTTGCAAGGAGCTGCCAGTCTAGACAAATGTGCTGTGAAGTACAATGACTGCAGTAGAGTGACCCAGGAGTTATTCAAGGCGCCTACAGGGCACTTTCAGAGTTGCAGGCATCAGGGCAAGGGCCTAAAGAGGAGCAAGGGCATCTGAATTTGCAGTGCGCAAGGCAGAGGAGCCCTCAGACAGAAGATGCTGCCGAAGCTACTGACATGAAAGCATGGAGCATCTGCCAGTAACTGCAAGGTGAGTGGAGGTGAAGCAATGATGTCACCGTGGAAGCATCAGGAGAGGAGGAAGAAAGGGGAGGGATATTCGAGAATGAAGCCAGAGAGATAGGGGAGACTCAACAGTGAAGGGCTGGCAGTTTTACCCTCTGGACAATCCTCTCCAAACTTTGCTGATTACACACCCTCTTCAGTAAAAGGCAGGATTCAAGTGTGCATTCACAAAATAGATAGGGGCAGCCACTTACAAATTATAGGCTAGACTACTATACAGATTCATTCCTACACCATACGACTACATTACATTTGCAAAGGATGAGATATAAAATTTCTCCTATTTTCTTTCCACATCCCAAGGGGACCTGTTGGGCAGCCACTTGGTCACACCAACTTTGGGAAACTGTTGGGTGTGTATGTGGAGCATGGAGCCAGCCATGGCCATGCTGAGACATGGGTCTGGGAGTGATGTGAGAATCTGAACCCACCCACTCCCCTCCACCCCCTCCAAGACCCCCCAGGAGGCATTAGATTTTCCTTCCCTCAGCAAGGGGGAAGCAGTGTCAGAGGCACTGCCCCAAGGTCCCCCAGGCACCTGAACCCTGAGCTCCCAGGAAGGGCCCAGGCTGCAACTGAGGCTGGCCAGGGTGAGTTCTCCTTGCCTCCCCCGGACCTTAAAGTCAGATTTTAAGAATAAATACACGAACCATAGCGAAAGCGCAGAGCCAACCCTTAGCAATGCTCGGGCAATGGGACATCAAGTCTTGAGCGAGGACAAGGGTCACCGGGAGCCTGAGTGACATCTCTTCCTGACACTGCCAGGCCCTGTCTGGCCTCAGGCTGTCCCCAGGACTGAGCAGCCGCTGCAGGGCAGGCACCATGGGATTCTCCCCCACCTCTGGCCCAATCTCACACTGCCCTGGACACGGCCCACCAGGAGGAAGAATTTGCTTCCCCTAGGCCCAGAATCGGGCCCTTGGTGCTGGCTGAGGTGTCCCCAGCGGCCTGCGGCTTCCTCAAGACTTTTCGACCGCCAGGTCCTCTCTGCCCTAGCCGGTGCCTCTCCGGACTTCCTCCGCCACCAGCTGGGCCAGAATTCAGGGCAGCGCCTGGTTCTTGCCTGTCCGTGTCATTCATAAGCCACGGGGGACTTCTGGCCGCCGCCGCCGCCGCGTGCGTGCACCAAGGGCATGGAGGTGCTGGGGGGTAGGAAAGGGAGAGCAGGCCTCTGGCGCCCGAGGTCGGAGGTGTGCTCAAGTTCCGACAGCCGGGGCGGTGGGCGGGTGGGGGGAACGACCCGTGCTAACCCCTCAGAGCCTGGGCGACCAGAGCTGTGGGAGTGGCGCCGCGGCCCCCAGCTGCTGGCTCCGGGGCTAGGGGAGAGGCCCGGGCGAGGGGAGCCCAGCTCGGTCCGCGCGGCCGCCGGAGGGGCTTGCGTTCGCCCACACGGGCGGGCTGGCGGTCGGCCTTGCCGCGAAAGCTCGGGAGTGTTGGACTTTTAAGTCAGTTCCCCGCCGCAGGAAGGGTCTGCACGCGCACACACGCGACGCCGCAAGCACTGGGACCCGGGACCCAGCGCTCCCAGCTCGCGCCCGCCCCGGCGCACTCCTGTGCGGCCCGCGCCGCCCAGCGCCGCGTGACCGCCCATTCCTCCGGGGACCCCCAGCGCCCCGGCCACACCTACCCGAGCCCCGCCCCGCGGTGCAACTCCGCCGTGGCCTGCGGGTGGGCGGGCGGCAGTCGCGTCGCCCCCACCCCGCGCAGCCTTCACCTTGCCGGCATTGGCTCACCCACACGGGGCTGGGGGTTTGGAGCGGATTTGTTTTTTTAAACATTTTCCAGCAGACCACATCCCCGCCCCCCCGCTGGCGGTCCCCCGCCCCCCGCACATATACCCTGCACACACGCACGCACACACACACACACACACCCGGCGCGCACAGACACACGCTCCCTCCCTCCGCGCTCTACCCCTCGCCCGCCCGCCGCGCACGCAGCCGGCCCCGGCTCCCGGCGCCCCGCGCCCCGCGCCCAGCGCCCCGCGCCCCGCCACCGCTGCCGCCAAGCAAAGCCGGGCTGGGCTTGGAGCTCCTCATGGAGAAAGTGCCAGGCGAGATGGAGATCGAGCGCAGGGAGCGGAGCGAGGAGCTGTCCGAGGCGGAGAGGAAGGCGGTGCAGGCTACGTGGGCCCGGCTCTATGCCAACTGCGAGGACGTGGGGGTGGCCATCCTGGTGAGGTAGGTGTCGCCCGGCCCGGCCGGGCCCTGGGCAGGGAGGGCGGTAGCGGCTCCGGGCGGGCTGGGCCCGGGTCCGAGCTCCAGCGCCACCTCCCCAGCCGCGAATGGGGCCGGTCCGAGGTCGGCGGGGCAGGCAGCGTGGGGCGCCTTGGGGTGAACGAAGCCTTGGTTGAGCCTTCCCTGGCTCCGGCGCGGTGTTCACCAGGAACTAGGAACCAGATGCAGGAGAGCACCTCGGTCCTCCTCCTCTCCCTGGCCTCAGAACTCCTTGCTCGGCCAGCGACCCCAGACACCCAGCCAAGCTGTCAGACACACACATTTTTCTGGCCTTTCAAAGGGAGTAGCAGGGGCTCCCCATTTTAGAGATGGGAAAACCGAGGCTCAACTCAGAAGGGGGACAAAGAGGAGCAGACCCCTGTCTCCAGCTTCGCCGCTTGCCAGATTCAAAGCCTCTTGGAAGAACAGAGAGCAAAGAGCAGAGGTTGAGAAGGAGGAGAGCACGGGGGTCCAGTGTTCCCAGCTGCCCTCTTCCTGCTGGTCGGCATGGGCCAGCAGGAGCTCCCAGGGCAGGCACAGGTGAGTGGAGAAGCAAACAGTCCCCTAGGATACAATCCCTGCTGAGTTAGGAGGGTGAGGGGAAGAAAAGAGAAGCTTCAGGAGACAGGGCCTAACCCTAAAACCCCCCACCTAGGGAGGAAATGCAGTGGTTTGGGCTTAGGGGTCATTCAGGCACCACATGCCCCCAAGAAACCCACAAACAGAGAGCACCCCGTTCTTCACACACCTGCGCATAGAGCACACACACCATCCTCATAGAGGTGATGTGTCCAAGCCTCGAAAGCTAGTCACTGACTCTAGCTACAAATCCATGCTCTCTTCCCACACGTGCTGGTCCCTGGGGGTGCAGGCAGAGGAGCCCCAGACCATGTTCACCCTCAAGCCCCCCTGTTCTTGGCAGAGGAAAGTGGTCAAATCTAGGACAGAGTAGGGCAGCCTTGTCATGTGCAGATGGGGTGAAGCCTCGCTCTGGAAGGGCAGCTTTAGTGCATGCCTGACTCCCAGGCCAGCTCCGTCTCCAGCTTCTTCTCCCTGTGGCCTCTCCCAAGCCTGGGACCTATCCAGTTCCACCATGATATGCCCTGATTCCAACTCAGAAGCAGATTTTGGTGGAAAAAGAGCAGGAAGCCTTTCTAAGGGTTCTAAGGAGTTACAGGAGCGCTCCTGAGGATAGGGCAGCTATCTCAGCAGCCCCCAGGCCCAGCAACACAGCTGGGAGTGGCAAGAAGCTAAGAGGGACATTGGGATACTAGGGCCTCAGATGCTCGGAACCACCGATCCCCACACGTGCTGGCACCCATACAAGCACACAGTGGGTAGCAGAGCCACAGACGCGCCAGACTGCATCCTCGAAGGGCGCCGTCAGCCGCGTGTCAGCACCTGCAGCCCACCGGCCTCGCATGCATCTGGCACACTCATGTGTCACCATGAAGAAGTGAGGCAGGGTCTTCAGGACCTGGGAGGTTTTCTGTCCCAACCCCTGCCATGTACCTGTGCGGATACGTGGAGGAAGGGCTCACCATCCACATCTCAGGGCACCACTGACCCTCCCCAGGAAGGGGACCAGGGAAGGGCAGATGCCAAGGGGGAAATGAAACACCGAGACCAGGGCCATGTCTGGGCAGTCCGAGTTTTCAGCAAGGATTTCTTTCTCTCTCTACATCCCTCTTCCAGTTCCCCACTCCTGTCTCGCAGAGGGGCCTGGGCCTGGGCTGGGGGAGGTCATCACCAATGCGCTCAGTGCCCAGAGTAACCCCTCACTACTCTGACTCCACTTCTGTGTGGACTAGAGCCCAGCCCCAGGACAGCCTGGCCCAGCTTTGTCTCAGCCACTCCCTGCCAGCCCAAGCCCCGCAGGGCTTTGCTTTCCTTTTTCTCTCCTCCTGTCTCTGTCCAGGGCCTGGGCAGTGGGGGAAGGGGAGGAAAGGGGCATAAGGGCTCCTGAAGGTCCCTCCTCAGATCCTAGGCCCATCAGTCTTGACACAGCGCCCTGTCTTCCCACACACAACGTACACATCCTCAAGGTCAAGGCCCCAGCTGCAGCCCTCTGGCCAGCACTCTCACCTCTGCCCTCCCCACTGCGCCAGGCCAGTGCCGTCAGCCCTTATGAGCCTGCAGGGCAGGAGGGAGGCAGCTGCACCTCCACATCCCCAACCTGGAGAAGTTGCCACGTTGGTGGGGGTGGAGGAGGCGTTGCTTTTGGAGCCTGAGGCAGACCCCACACTTCCATTCCCTGCCAAGGAGGAGACCAAGAGGGAACACCCACCCTCCCTCCTGGTTGTAACTCTGACACCTTCCTCCTCACACTCAGACAGGCCTATTTCAGGCTCTCTTGGAAGCCCAGATGTCTCTGGGAGCTGAGAAACTCCCCAGGGCTGGCTGTGGAGACTCCTCCCTGGCAGCACAGGCTGAGATCGGGAGGGTCTCAGGTGGAAACACCGCGGAGCCAGGAGGAAGGAGCCAGGCACATGGGCCCCAGGGGCGACAGAACCGTGGAGGGTCTGGGTGGGGGCTCCCTGAGACTGTCATTCCTCAGGGCCACAACCCGGTGGTGGGTGTTGAGGCAGGAGACACCTGGTTACCAGGCCACGATCCCCTGGCACAGCTGTCTCTCCAGGCAGTGTGGGGAAACTGTCAAAGTAGGGCCTGCCTGGGCCCTTTCCTGGCGCTGCCATCTACTTTGTTGGGCAATCTTGGACATCAATTCCTAATTCATAGGATGGGGATTAAAACAGTGCCTATCTCAGGAGAGAATTGCAAGGATTCGTGAGATCATACAGTAAGTGCTCAATAAATGTTCCCTGTTCTTTCCGCATCAGTAAAATAGAAGTAATACCTGCTTAGCTGTGGCAATTAAATACAGTAACAGGCCGGGCACGGTGGCTCACACCTGTAATCCCAGCACTTTGGGAGGCTGAGGCAGGCAGATCACCGGAGGTCAGGAGTTCATCACCAGCCTGGCCAGCATGGTGAAACCCTGTCTCTACTAAAAAGACAAAAATTAGCCAGGTGTGGTGGCGGGTACCTGTAATCCCAGCTAACTTGGGAGTCTGAGGCAGGAGAATCCCTTGAACCCGGTAGGCAGAGGTTGCAGTGAGCCAAGATTGCGCCACTGCACTCCAGCCTGGACAACAGAGTAAGATTCTGTCTCAAAAAGAAAAAAGAAAAAAAAAAAGAAAAGAAAAGAAAAAGAAAAAGTACAAAAACATTGTAACACATCAGGCAAATATATATATATATCTCATTGTTAATATTTTGTGTCAGGGTCTTGCTCTGTCACCCAAGCTAGAGTGCAGTGGTGCCATCAGGGTTCACTGCAGCCTCCAATCCTGGGCTCATGATGCGACCGGATCTTCCTGCTGCAGCCTCCCAAGTAGCTAGGAGTACAGACGGTCACCACCACACCCAGCCAATTTCTTTCTTTTTTTCTGGAGACAGGATCTCACTATGTTGCCCAGGCTGGTCTCGAACTCCTGGCCTCAAGTGATTTTCCTGCCTTGGCCTCCCAGAGTTCTGGGATTACAGGCATAAGCCACCACACCTGGCCTTTTATTATTATTATTATCATTATTTCTTTTGATTCAGGATCTCACTCTGTCACCCAGGCTGGAGTGCAATGGCACAATCTTGGCTCCCTGTAGCCTTGCCCTCCCGGGTTCAAGTGATCCTCTCACTTTAGACTCCTGAGTAGCTGGAATCAAAGGTGTGTGCCACCACACCTGGCTAATTTTTTGTATTTTGTAGAGACACGGTTTGCCACATTGCCCAGGCTGGTCTCAAACGCCTGAGCTCGAGCAGTCCACCCGCCTTGGCGTCGTAAAGTGCTAGAATTACAGGCGTGAGCCACCGTGCCCGGCCATATCATTATTTTTTATTGCAATTGTAAAACCTCCAAAGTTTGAGATGCTCGTTTAAGTCCAAATTGGGTTTTTCACATTTGTCCCTCATTACAGTGCTTCTCCAGAAAATTCAATGTATTTTCAAACCCATCGCCTCACGTGTCCTCACCCGTGTATCCATGAAGCAGTGAGCGCAGCCCTCCTCTCGCACTTTTGCAGACAGGGAGCTTGTGAAGCAGTTTGCCCAAGATCACAGTTGGCCTCTGGGAGGGGCCCTCCTGAGTCTCCACACAGACTGTGCCCTGGTCACTGTGCAAGCTCCCCCCGCCAATAGCAGCTCCACCACCAGCAGGGACGACCCGGCCAGATGCCCTCTCCACATCTGTTCTAGCCCTCACATCTGAGACTCGACTCCTGGCCAAAGGGCTGCTTCCGCAAATTATCAGCTCTCTCTGATCACAAAGGGGACACATGAAGGGGCAGAACAATGTGGAAGAACAGGTCCAGGACACTCCATACATTTTCTGGGGATTCACTTAAGTTATGTAAGTTCTGATTGAGTCCATGCCCATGTCTCACATGATGTCCAGCCTCGACAGGGAGAGGAGGCCTCCCAAGTAGCTAGGAGTACAGACGGTCACCACCACACCCAGCCAATTTCTTTCTTTTTTTCTGGAGACAGGATCTCACTATGTTGCCCAGGCTGGTCTCGAACTCCTGGCCTCAAGTGATTTTCCTGCCTTGGCCTCCCAGAGTTCTGGGATTACAGGCATAAGCCACCACACCTGGCTAATTTTTTGTATTTTGTAGAGACACGGTTTGCCACATTGCCCAGGCTGGTCTCAAACGCCTGAGCTCGAGCAGTCCACCCGCCTTGGCGTCGTAAAGTGCTAGAATTACAGGCGTGAGCCACCGTGCCCGGCCATATCATTATTTTTTATTGCAATTGTAAAACCTCCAAAGTTTGAGATGCTCGTTTAAGTCCAAATTGGGTTTTTCACATTTGTCCCTCATTACAGTGCTTCTCCAGAAAATTCAATGTATTTTCAAACCCATCGCCTCACGTGTCCTCACCCGTGTATCCATGAAGCAGTGAGCGCAGCCCTCCTCTCGCACTTTTGC